CGTTTGGGCGGTGTCCGCGCCGCCGGGCGGGCGGCCGGCCGCACCTTCCTTGCCGCAGTCGCTAGTGCGCCTCAACGGCCGCCGCTTCATACTCGTGCCGCACCACAAGCCGCCGGTATGTGCCCTACACCACACATCACTACACACCACTACGTTTGGGCGGTGTCCGCGCCGCCGGGCGGGCGGCCGGCCGCACCTTCCTTGCCGCAGTCGCTAGTGCGCCTCAACGGCCGCCGCTTTATACTCGTGCCGCACCATAAGCCGCCGGTATGTAAAGAAAGAAAGAAAAAACTTTATTTCACAAAACCAAAAACACATAAACACATCTCAGTTGATTGTACACCACACAAGATACGAAAAGAAAAAGAAACCAATATATTTATTTTTCGCGACTGTGCGACGGGCGCCCGCAGTGAGTGTGCGAGCGCGACAGCAACATAATTACCCTCGAGCGATAAGGATGGGTAGCTTGGGGTCATTGGACAAAATTCTACGTGCTCGTAAACCAGACTATACACATCTTTTGATCAGGTTATTTAATGTAGGAGTATGACTCTACCTACACTCTCCATGCTCTCCTTTGGGGAGAATAACACACATTAGTCTTTAATGCCACATTAATACAGTCATCATCACCATTATCACTCGGCCTAAGGGACGCGCCACGATATAATTTTATCGTCTTATAATTCCTTGATAAAACGATGTAATGGCGTATATCCTAGGCTAGCAAGTTATTCGGCCTCCACTATAGGAATGTAACCCTCTTTATCTTAATAAAATCAAATGGAAGATTTGGTCTACACTCTACATGCTAGCTAGACGACTTGGGAATTGGGAATGCCTGATGTTCACATATTTGGGCGATCATAACATTCAAAGAGAGGGTACACAAATCTTTTTTTATTCAGAACAGCTTGTCTTTACTGTTCACTAATATACACACAGAGAGAGACAACAGCCACAGTGTTGAAACAAATTCTAACACAGACTCTAATTTCATCTTGAGCATAGATTCTTTAGCCTATTATAGTATGTATAGAACTAAAGTATAACGAATTTTGTCCTTTTGCAGCCTGCGGGAGAAGAATGATCCGACGACGCTGCTGCAAGCACTGGACCGGAACGCCATGTACAGATCACAATTATTTATAACGTCTAAATGTTACGCGATATTCCTATTGTTTATAGGCCTAGCACTTAACGTGAGTCAGTTCCCGAGGTTAAGAAGTGGCACGGGAGGGGTGACATTAGTGATGTGCCGAGTCGGCTATTTTAGGTTTTCGTTAATAAAAGAATCGAGTTAGGACTCGAGTCGGAAGACTCGGTCAAGTATTCGAGTACTGGCACGAGTATTCGAATACTTCAGTGGACTCGAGTTCTTTTTGAATCGAATTATGTAGTTTTCTTTTGATGACAATTTCTAATATTTCATCACAAATCAAACATGTATGAACGATAGGGGGGGGGGGGAGTATTTAATGTAAATAATAACAGATTATTGTCATACAAAATTCGACTGTACGCCGTACAAGGTTGCTATTAAAGTACGACTTAGTATTCGAATACCGTTAGTACTCGAAATCTGTATTCGAGTATTGTGGATCCGAATACAGAATTTGACATACTCGAGTACGTGAGTCGTTCGTCGTCGTTTCAGCCGAAAGACGTCCACTGCTGGACAAAGGCCTCCCCCAAGGATTTCCACAAAGACCGGTCCTGCGCCGCTTGCATCCAGGTACTTCCCGCGACCTTCACCAGATCGTCGGTCCACCTAGTGGGAGGCCTGCCCACGCTACGTCTTCCAGCTCGTGATCGCCACTCAAGAACTTTCCTGCCCCAGCGGCCATCAGCTCTACGAGCTATGTGCCCCGCCCACTGCCACTTGATTTTAGCGATTCTGCGGGCTATGTCAGTCACTCTGGTTCTCCTACGGATCTCCTCATTTCTGATTCGATCGTACGTGTCGTCGAGTACGTGAGTACCTGCTAGTTATTCGAGTCAGTCTGATTTGGCACATCTCTAGGTGACATTGACATATTATGACGTGACAGAGCATACAAGTTTAGCAGATCTGAAGTCTGCTGACATATGACGTCACAAAAACACCCTCCCGTGCCTCTCCCATATCTCAGACGCTGACTCAGTTAAGCGCTGACCTAGTATAGTTGGCGAAATTGGCTGCCTTGCCTATACTTATAAATGGGCAACCATTTTACGACGTTACTTTGTAGTCTTTTGAATAACTTCTGTGGGGCTACTCCGAAAAACGTTATCTGAAGTCTGAATGTTGACATACTTCTCACACAAAGCGAGATGCTAGCATGAGAGATAGAGACAGATATAACCAAAGCGGCGTTTCGGAATAGCCCTACTGAACCTTTAGGGTAAGGTGCCAATTTCGTTATCTAATTATGTTATTTACAATTATGATTAAGGTTTTTATAGCCAAAACATTCCTAAACAGTAAAGCCTTTGGTACACAGTCGACGTGACTGCAACGCGATATGAGCGCGATGCTACAATCTCAATCCCATACAATTTGACATCTCAGCTCTACTCATTTCGGTGCTTCGGCAAAGTACCAAAGTTGACCGAGTAGTGTAGTCAGACACTTCGTGTTCAAACTGCGAAACGCTTCGGGCCTTGCGACTCGCGTGCAATACCGACAACATTCAGAAGTTGAGCGAAGCGATGTTGCTGGAAGCGAAATGAAGAGCGTGTCTACACTATTTAACTCCGATTAACTCATGAGTATGTGACATAGCTCTTTAAAATGAGAATTAAAAAAATAAATAAAAAAAGTCATGAGTGGTATAAAGCCCGGTCTGTAAGCACGTAGAATTTTGACCAATGACCTTCAAAATTAAATTGGTAGCTTGCTACCCATCCTCATCGCTCGCGCGTAATTATGTTGCTGTCGCGCTCGCACACTCACTGCGGGCGCCAGTCGTAGTCGCGACAGCAATATAATAGGGTTATTGATCAGAGACCGGGCCTTAGTGAGCGCAAAATACTGTAGCTTTCTTTGACGGCTAACTAAGAGAACTCAGATTAACTTTAATTCGTCATTACGTTAGTGGTTCAGTTAGTTACCCCTCTTTGATATCGGCTGTGTCCCTATGGCTCTTCACTTTAGTTCACAAACTCGATCTATAAGATAGCCTGAAAGGTTATCCCGAGTTGTGCAACTAAACTGTCGTATACTGTACGGTTTGTTACATCTAGCTAGTGATTGTTATTCGTAGTTTCTTTCATGTATTCCAAATGTAATGTGTCTTACATTTCGTATAGTTTTTGGAATAATGGAAGAACAATAATTTGATTTGAATCATGTAAAGTTATAATGATTGGACAAACGGAATGGTTTTGATAAAACTTAAGTTAGAAACATTGACAAATCTATATGGCTAATTTTATCATAAAAGTTGTATTGACAGAATTTGTATAAAAATGTCAAAAAGTTAATTTATTATTCTAGTAGAAGTCGTATAAAGATTCATATTTTTACTTCTTTTGTAAAAATAACTGTTTTTTTTTTTCAATTTGACCCGATTGTCCAATCATTGGTTATTACAAAATGGTTATTGTTGACATACATTAGAAATATAACATTTCAAAGACCTTTTTGAATGGTGTATTGAGGATTAAATAAAATTGTCTATGCATTAGAATGAATTTGTTGTATGTTCAATGTTAGGATAGTAAAAAGCATGTTAGAGCTATTGAATAAGAATAAAATGAACTATCTTTTAACTGTTATTTTAAACATACATCTCCGTTGCGTTAACTGCGCACCTGACAAGCGTGACGTCACGTCGACGCTCACTGGTACTAATGGGGGAGTGCGGGGAGGTGTGTAAGCGAGGGAGTCGCATTCTAAAGCCCAACAGTCGCGACAGCAACATTATTACGCGCGAGCGATAAGGATGGGTAGCTTAGGGTCATTGGACAAAATTCTACGTGCTCAGTGACCAGACTATGGCCAGGTGCGCAATTAACTCCACCGGGACAAGTTAAAACTGCAAAATCATGTTATTTATGTAACATACAGTACGGCCACACTAGTCGCAAGGGTGATGAGTGATTTAAATATTTAAGTGGGACTATTTATTTGCCATTTAAGTGGGACTATTATATCGATACTATTCGACACTGTCGTCAAAAGTCAAATGAATTATGAATATGTTGCCCTTGCGTTCTAATACTCGGCGCAAAGACCCATGGCAGGCGGGGCGTTAAGTAATTTTTGAAACAAGAGTTGCACATTAATTATTACGTATTATAAACAACCTTTGTGTGACGTCACCCATAACCAGTGTGAGTGCGAGAGAAAACGTGATCTGCATTGTTCTATTATTACACCGCCAGCCACGAGTCTGCGCTGAGTAGTGTGGTACTGTGGTCTTACTTATTTAATAGTTATTTATAAAAAAATATGGTTATGTCCATTCAGTGAGTTTTCTGTATGTGTTATGTTAATTTTACATATAAATGCTGTATATCACAATTTGTATAAAGGAATATAAAAATAAAATGAACAAGTGTGTTTTGCGTCAAAATTTAATTTAGCTAACTCCTACATCGGATGTAAGGTAAGTGTTTTTTTTTTAGTTTTAAATCGGTTTTTCTTCAGTTGTGGAGTTGTTGATAGGTTACATTGTAATAGCTGGCTTCAAACAAGCTTTGTGTATGGATAAAAAAATTACAAACCAAAGTTGTTATACTTGTTTGAAGTTAGCTATATTTTTAACTAATTTAAGTTTTCATTTCAGATGTTTCAAAGTGAGGTATTATTATGTTGACACATGCTACATAATAATATTTCAATTTCAGGTTAAAATCGAAAGTCTGGCATTTTCAATTTCTTCAACTGTCAACTTTTTGGCCACTTTGGGTACCACGAACTATTTGACACTGACTGTACTGTTGTACACAATAATAAAACACTATTATATCTCGTGTCTGAACGTGTTAACAAACGTAATTAACCTGCGCAGTGGCGAGAAGCGGCAGACTCGCATGGTGAACGGGTCGTCGCCGCCGCCGGTGACGTCGCCGCGTCGGCGCGGCCGCCCCAAGCAGGACACGGACCATTTCACCGCCTTCTACCACAAGGCGCAGGAGCACAACTACAACGTGGTCGTGCAGGTAAATGAATACCCTAATAAGGATGTTTCCTGGGTAAAAAAAACAAGTTCGAATCAGGGTTTGATGGTGAAAACAGGCATTAGTCCCTCAATTTACTTGCAAAAAAAATATCCGTCACGTATTTTTCGCTTTATAAAATCAATTAGAATTGACAGTGGCGACCGGTGACGTCACTACGTTCCAAAAAGCGTAGCACAGCGTGACGTCACGCGGAACTTTGACGCACCATAACTTCGTAATTATCCCGTCTTTTATCCTAACATACCAGAGACGGCCACTCCGTCTACACATTTCATTGTACTAAAAAAATATTTTTCTTTACAGATATTCCAATACTTAGGTATGCGGGATTTAGCGCACTGCGCAAGAGTTTGCAAGCTGTGGCGGCAGATGGCGTCGACGCCAGCGCTATGGAGGCACGTTAGGATGAAAAATTCACATGTGAGTATACGAAACTGCAGGGCTACACCGAAACTCTTTTTTACGTAGTTTCGGATATGTCTGTTTCTGTCGCTCATGCTGGCATCTCGCTTTGCCTGAAAGGGATCGAATGTTGCCATTCGAACATTTTTCGGAATAACCCCGCTGATGATTATATCTAAAACTGATTTAGTTTTTTTCTATTGGTGAGAGGTTGAAGACTCTCCATCACTTTAAAAACTTGTAACTGTGGTATTACATATTTAACGTTCACTTTGTCATTGTAGTTACCATTGCTGTACAAATTATAAAATCTGTGCTAGTGTTAATTCCACTGCACTGTTGTCTAGCACCCATAGTACAAGATCTGCTTAATTTGGGACTAGCGGCGCAGTGTAAAATGTCCAAGGATATTTATATTATATTTATATGTAAAAGTTACTTTTACGATTTCGAAAATCGTGTCACCAACAGGTAAGCGACTGGGGCGGATTATGCACCGCACTCAAGCGCCACGGCACGAAGTGGCTGGACTTACGCAAGATGCTGCTGCCACAAAACGACACCGTGTTCTGGGAACAGTTCGCGCAACACATATCCACTGTAGATACGATAGAAAGGTAAGCTCCATCTGTTTTATTACTGTTTTTATGGATGGTTGTATCTAGAGGTATTATTTTATATTACAGTCATTCGCAAAGCAGAGGTCACTCGAAGAATGCATTACCAAAGTTTTTTTGGAGCACAGTCTTAAAGAATAAAACAAAATTTTTTCCATTCGTGTCCAGCTCAAAGGCTTGGATCGGATTTTCGACGTCCGATTAAGCGATACCAACATTATCGCAACAGGGGAATATTACTGACGTCAAAAGAAACGGGATAATTACGGTGACTGAGGGTTATTCAGTGTGAGAATGTAACATGAAGTTTTCATTGGCAATGTTTGTCAAATTCTCGGGTCAAATAGCACAGACTAAAGTTTTGTTCCAAAATATCATCTATTTACACAGCATAAGGCCCTTTTCACATGTCCCGGTTGCCGGCTATCCGGCGCCGGGTACCCGGTGGTGAAGTGTATGGGCATGCCTAGAGATGTGCCGCTGAGAAAGTTCTCGTTCCCGGCAATATTCCCAGTGAGAATATTCTCAAGAACCGAGAACGCTCCCGGGAATATTCTCAGTGTTCTCGACAGAATACATTTAGTTTTAATTTTAATTTTGTTGTTTTTATGTGATATTATTTGTAATGTTTCGATGTTTTATTAACTGGGCGTTAAGACTAGTCGTTATAAACAAGGCATGAAACGTGTGAGTGAGATATTGCTGTCTTGCTCACTCTTTTCGTGGCGAACGCGTACCGCCGCTTTAGGACTCGGCTACGGTATTTGAACATAAGTGTGCCTCTGAGTTTTAAGGCCCTTGCCACCCTGGCGGATTGCAAGCGGATTCAAAGCGGATTCAAAGTGGATTTAAAGCGGAGTGGCAACGCGACGGAGAAGCCGCGTGAAAATATCGTAAAGTTACCCAAAGGCTGCCCAGCCGAGCTGGATTCGATTATTGACCTTTTTTTCGAAGTTGGACCTACCTAACTGGACTGTTTGTCCCAGGTATACATTATTGTCAACAACCTCGAGTGTAGAGTCTCCAACTTTTAGAGGAGTGGGTGCAACACACAAAGAACGGTTAATGCAGATTAGTATGCTAGCATTTGTTTGCCACAGGTCGTTTCTGAACTCCGTAAAGAGAACTGCAACCGCCGCATCATCCTCTATCACGACAATGCGAGTTCTCACACCGCGCACTGAACAAAAGAGTTTTTAGAGCAAGAAAACATAGAATTATTAGTCCATCCGCCGTACAGCCCCGACCTAAGCCCTAATGATTTCTATACTTTCCCTAAAATAAAGAATAAATTGCGTGGTCAGAGATTTTCATCACCTGAAGAAGCTGTGGAAGCCTACAAAACGGCCATTTTGGAGACCCAAACTTCCGAATGCAATGGTTGCTTCAATGATTGGTTTCGTGTATGGAAAAATGTGTCAAATTTCGCGGAGAATACTTTAAAAAGCAATAAATACATTTTTAAATAGTAATGTTGTTTCACTTCCTTGATTCCCGAAATTTTCAGTGCCGCCCTCGTACACTTATCTGTTGACTTAATTTAATACTATTTTACTTAAGAAAGTTTGTTTATTTCCATTTGATAAACATGATTCTCAACCTTTCTCACTTAGAAGAACGCTCCCGGGAACGCTCCCGAGAATATTCTCAGTTGAGAGAGCGTTCTCGGGAACGGCACATCAATAGGCATGCCGGATTAATTACGCCGGAACATGTGAAAGCTACCTTAAACTACCATACACTTCACCACCGGATACCCGGCGCCGGTTAGCCGGCAACCGGGACGTGTGAAAAGGACCTAACTGACCACGACAATTCCTTCACAGGATAGAACTGTGCCGCTGCCCGGCGCGCGCGGTCGAAGCAGTTTGCGCGGGTCTCCCAGGCCTCGTAGCGTTATCGGCGCTCGCCATCCGCTCGCCGGCCTTGGACCCGGCGCCGCTGGCCCGCCTGCCGCGCCTGCGGGAGCTGCGCCTCAAGAGCATGGCGGGGCTCGCGCTGGCTCGGGACCTGCGCCCGCTCGCCAGCTTGGAGCACCTGGCGCATTTGTCACTCACTTCCATCAAGGTACAACAATATATGTCTGTTTTCGCAATTTAGTACACCGATCTTGTTGCGACAAGGAAAAATTTCAGTGATTTTAAGCGATTTCGTGAAAAATATTATTAAAGTCCGACCAATGACCCCAAGCTACCTATCCTTATCGCACACTCACTGCGGGCGCCCGTCGCACAGTCGCGACATCAATATAATTACGCGCGAGCGAGGATGGGTAGCTTGGGGTCATTGGACAAAATTCTACGTGCTCACAGACCAGACTATAATAGCTAATTGCTCATAAGATAGGCACCCTTAATTGATATTTATTGTCCGTGGTGCACATCTTTTCTTAAAGGTTATCAAACCTTTGTTTGTCACCTGTCATCCGCTTTGCAATGGAGAGACGAACCTCAATTTCGAACTCCTATGTTCTTCTGATTAATTTCGTTGCGGATCCAATGACAGTTTAACTTTCCCCCGGGACAAACTTGACCTTCATTGGTTGGGTTTATATGGCGGTCAAGCTGTAGATCCTGGCTACACAGGAGTTGCAGCGGTGGGAACGAGAGGTGGTAATAGTCCCGTCCATCAAGGTGAGTGTATGTTGCGAGCTGCCGGCGCTCTCCGCCTCAAGACATGGCGGGACTAATGGCGCTATCGGCGCTCGCCATCCGCTCGCCGGCCTTGGACCCGGCGCCGCTGGCCCGCCTGCCGCGCCTGCGGGAGCTGCGCCTCAAGAGCATGGCGGGGCTCGCGCTGGCTCGGGACCTGCGCCCGCTAGCCAGCTTGGAACACCTGGCGCATTTGTCACTCACTTCCATCAAGGTACAACATCAAATATCCCGTTTCCGCAATTTATTACAACAGTGATTTTAAGCGATTTTGTGAAAAATATTATTTAATCCCCGTCTGTGAGCACGTAGAATTTTGTCCAATGACCCCAAGCTACCCATCCTTATCGCACACTCACTGCGGGCGCCCGTCGCACAGTCGCGACAACAATATAATTACGCGCGAGCGAGGATGGGTAGCTTGGGGTCATTGGACAAAATTCTACGTGCTCGCAGACCAGACTATAGCAAGGAGCTAATTGCTCATAAGATAGGCACCCTTAATTGATATTTATTGTCCGTGGTGCACATCTTTTCTTAAAGGTTATCAAACCTTTGTCACCTGTCATCCGCTTTGCAATGGAGAGACGAACCTCAATTTCGAACTTCTATGTTCTTTTGATGAATTTCGTTGCGGGTCCAATGACAGTTTAACTTTCTCCTGGGACAAACTTGACCTTCATTGTTCGGGTTTATATGGCGGTCAAGCTGTAGATCCTGGCTACACAGGAGTTGCAGCGGTGGGAACGAGAGGTGGGAATAGTCCCGTCCATCAAGGTGAGTGTGTGTTGCGAGCAGCCGGCGCTCTCCGCCTCAAGACATGGCGGGACTAATGGCGCTATCGGCGCTCGCCATCCGCTCGCCGGCCTTGGACCCGGCGCCGCTGGCCCGCCTGCCGCGCCTGCGGGAGCTGCGCCTCAAGAGCATGGCGGGGCTCGCGCTGGCTCGGGACCTGCGCCCGCTAGCCAGCTTGGAACACCTGGCGCATCTGTCGCTCACGTCCATCAAGGTACAACATACATCTGTGTCATAAGATTTTAAACTTTCGCGTTCCATTTCAATTAAAATAGTAACGAACGAACAACGCCGCGAACCGCCAGTCTGCTTGTGACCACGGCTGCAGCATCGCAGCCGAAACGTCAAGCCGTGAGTACATAATGTAACTCATTAATAAACGTCTCGTTAAAACCCGTGTCTTACTATTTTAATACATCTGTGTCCGCAATTTACTACACCGATCTTGTTGCGACAAGGAAAAATTTACGTGCTTTTAAGCGATTTTGTGAAAAATATTATTGGCAGGTAATTGCTCATAAGATAGGCCCCCTTAATTGATATTTTATTTTTATTGTCATCCGCTTTGCAATGGAGATACGAACCTTAATTTTGAACTTCTATGTTCTTCTAATTAATTTCGTTGCGGGTCCAATGACAGTTTTACTTTCTCCTGGGACAAACTTGACCTTCATTGTTCGGGTTTATATGGCGGTCAAGCTGTAGATCCTGGCTACACAGGAGTTGCAGTGGTGGGAACGAGAGGTGGTAATAGTCCCGTTCATCAAGGTGAGTTTATGTTGTGATGCGGCCCGGCGCTCTCCGCCTCAAGACATGGCGGGACTAATGGCGCTATCGGCGCTCGCCATCCGCTCGCCGGCCTTGGACCCGGCGCCGCTGGCCCGCCTGCCGCGCCTGCGGGAGCTGCGCCTCAAGAGCATGGCGGGGCTCGCGCTGGCTCGGGACCTGCGTCCGCTCGCCAGCTTGGAACACCTGGCGCATTTGTCACTTACTTCCATCAAGGTACAACAACTTATATCCCGTTTCCGCAATTTATTACAACAGTGATTTTAAACGATTTTGTGAAAAATATTATTAAATCCCGGTCTGTGAGCACGTAGAATTTTGTCCAATGACCCCAAGCTATCCATCCTTATCGCTCGCACACTCACTGCGGGCGCGCGTCGCACAGTCGCGACAACAATATAATTACGCGCGAGCGAGGATAGGTAGCTTGGGGTCATTGGACAAAATTCTACGTGCTCGCAGACCAGACTATAGCAAGGAGCTAATTGCTCATAAGATAGGCACCCTTAATTGATATTTATTGTCCGTGGTGCACATCTTTTCTTAAAGGTTATCAAACCTTTGTCACCTGTCATCCGCTTTGCAATGGAGAGACGAACCTCAATTTCGAACTTCTATGTTCTTCTGATGAATTTCGTTGCGGGTCCAATGACAGTTTAACTTTCTCCTGGGACAAACTTGACCTTCATTGTTCGGGTTTATATGGCGGTCAAGCTGTAGATCCTGGCTACACAGGAGTTGCAGCGGTGGGAACGAGAGGTGGGAATAGTCCCGTCCATCAAGGTGAGTGTGTGTTGCGAGCAGCCGGCGCTCTCCGCCTCAAGACATGGCGGGACTAATGGCGCTATCGGCGCTCGCCATCCGCTCGCCGGCCTTGGACCCGGCGCCGCTGGCTCGCCTGCCGCGCCTGCGGGAGCTGCGCCTCAAGAGCATGGCGGGGCTCGCGCTGGCTCGGGACCTGCGTCCGCTCGCGAGCTTGGAACACCTGGCGCACCTGTCGCTCACGTCCATCAAGGTGAGAAGGAAATGCTTCTGGACTTGGAATTTTCTCACCTCTCTTTCCTGTGTAAAGCCCGGTCCGTGAGCACGTAGAATTTTGTCCAAGGACCCCTAGCTACCCATCCTTATCGCTCGCGCGTAATTATATTGTTGTCGCGACTGTGCGAGTGGCACCCGCAGTGTGTGCGAGCGCGATAACAACATAATTACGCGCGAGCGATAAGGATGGGTAGCTAGGGGTCATTGGACAAAATTCTACGTACTCACGGACCAGACTATAGCTAGGATCTACGGCTTGACCGCCAATCAGAACCCAGGAAAGAAAGGAAAGTTAAACTGTCATTGGACCCGCAACGAAATTAATCAGAAGAACATAGGAGGACTTCAAAGTTCAAAGGTATATGGGTCTACTCGCCTACTTTAAAACTTGCGCGGGTACACAGAGCGTATGCCTCCTTCCGTCGTCCGTCGCGGGCCGGTACTTTGCAGCCGGCACTCGCCGCGTGTGCCCGCCTATAGAAGCACGTACACGTGCGCCCGTCGTGCGTTGCACGCGTGAGTTTTAGTGGAGGTCTAATTTTACACTGTGCTGGCGGTATTGACAGTATTAATGAGCTGTGATACATGCTCAATAGACAGAGTCCTGAAATACGCTCATTGATTCGACACCACTTCCTTAATTTTTATGAAATCAAAACCTAAACTGTTTGCAGGAGCTAGGCTGGTGCGCGTGTGACGTGATCGGCCAACTGTCTCAGCTGGAGTCTCTAGAACTCGGCGAGTGCACCTTCCGCGCCGAGTTCGCCGGCGTCCTGGCCAAGCTGGCGCGGCTGCGTCGTCTGCGTCTCGAGCGCGGCACCGCCCAATGCGCCGCGCCTGCCTTACTGCGTGCGCTCGCTGCCCTGCCGCTGCTCACGCGGCTCGAGCTCGTCAACATCGACGTCAAGGTACACGCGCCCCGCCTAAGGCCTCAGCCTCGAACTTAGCGGGCAGCGGGGCGGGAGCGGCGGCGGCGCGGGAGCGGGGCGGGCAACGCAGACCCGTTCTCGAAACAAGCGGGCAGCTCGCGCGGCGCTTTAGCGGCGAAGTGTTGTGTTCGGGGTTGTGTTGTCGAGATATTTNTCGCGCGGCGCTTTAGCGGCGAAGTGTTGTGTTCGGGGTTGTGTTGTCGAGATATTTGTTTTTATTCGCAAACGAAATGTCTGAACAACGGCGACAATTTTATTTCGATTCAAATTTATTCCTAACGCTCGATTTATTGTGGGCAAAAGAAGGAGTGCGCTGCCCGCTCGTTGCCCGCTCCCGCGCCGCTGCCCGCTCGTTGCCCGCTGCCGCGCCGCTGTTTTCGAGAACCGGTCTATTTGATTTTACGCATAAGATCCTGCCGCCAGTTCCGCGCGCTAAGTTCAAGGCTGAGGCCTTACTGCGCGCGCTCGCCGCCCTGCCGCTGCTCACGCGGCTCGAGCTCGTCAACATCGACGTCAAGGTACCGCCAGAGTAAATTGGTGGGGCACGTCTTTGTGGATGGCACGATCTGTACCACCCGCCCACTCAAGATCTCGCTCCGCTGACGTTCAGGAGTCGTCCCATTAAAAACAGTTCTAAATCCGTATTCACAAGGGTCAATTTCGATAGAACGATTACTCGATAGGATCGCAACTCGGTGTTTTGTTGTCGTTGAAGTTTTTTTACGTGAATAAGGCCACAGGGCATCATGGCATCAAAAAAGACGCTAAGACTCTGCTGTTCCGCTAAAAGTGGCCAAGGAAGGAGGCGATATTACGGAAAAAGAACCCTGATAAAATTAGTGATAGCTCATGGTCGCTCCCGGCCAGTGCGTGATATCATCAACATAGACGACAAAACACTGCTGTCTCGCTGAGTCGCCCAGGGAATCGGAAATAATGGAGATTGAGCCCTGATAATGAGTGATAGTTATTGTACCTTCTTTTCTAGTATCATTTCATTTTATGTCAGCCTTTTAATTTTCTAAACGTGATTGAAACTAATTACGTCCAAAATGTTATGTTATCATCATCACCGTATTAATGACTTAAATTTTGTCGCAGGTTGGGTTCGATGACGCGTTGGCGGAGTGTAAAAACATCCAAAGGTTACTCATCATACCGACCTATGTGTCACAGTCGGCGACAACTAATAAACAGGTCAGTATTGTACACCTATTTGAGGCTTCCTCTTTATGTCTACCTACAGATAGATCGATCGATTTTATCCACTCATTCTTTCAGTACAGAACTATAGAGTACAACAGTCATGAGTATTTATGTGGGTAATGCAAACACAGCAATTTATAGTTAATCCGGCTCGAAGGACCACTGTTTTCAAGATCAATTCTCAGTACAAACAGTACAACGTACTATAAACCATGACTGTTTATGTTGGTAATGCAACAAATGTAGCAATTTTGTTTATCCGGCTCGAAGGACCACTGTTTAGATCTTCAAGAGTTGTCAAATAGTTCATGACACTCGAAGTAGCCAATAAGTTCACAACATGTCTTTGTTATAGTTGGAATAAGATTGTCATCAACATTTTGGCCACTTTAGGTGTGTCACTATTTGACGCTGCACGCTGACTATACAAAAAATAACAGCAAACTTTTTTTTCGTAGGTGCTCAGCGGAGTGTTAAGGTTGAAAGACACACTCACGCACCTAATGTGGGGGGTCACGATCGAGCTACTACGCGTGACGGAGTTGTTCATCGACCAGTGCGAGCAGGCGCCCGACTCCAAGCGACGTGACGTCGGCGAGTGCATCCCGGTGCTGAAACCAGTGCCTGGCTGCAAGCTGCCCGATGAGCACCAACACGTGGCCGGCCCGCCGCAGGTCAGTAGAATAGAATAGAAGTACTGTATTCAGCATACAACAGTTTAGGTTCAGACATAATTTTAACAGTTTAGGTTCAGACATAATAAGACAAAAGAAGCAATTATTCTGAAAATGTTGACCTTTTTCATATTGTGAGACCAAACTACTTCAAAAATCAAAGTAATAAAGAATTCTTTGGCGACACTACTTAGCACTCTCCCGGTAAAAAGTTGAAGTATCTGTTTACTGCTTAATATTCTGCTATTTTGGTATGGCTTTAGTAGGTATTTTCTGTATTGTTTTAACTTTTTTCATATATTGTAGTTATACTGCATGCTAAATGGTTTTGTTTTGGATTGTATCTTGATATGCTATTTGTGAAAACTATGTAAGACATTTTTGATCTTAACCGCCTCATCTATTCATAATACATATATGCTGTTTGTTTTCCATAAAATAAATAAATAAATAAATAAATAATTTTATTGAGGCAAGATGAAAAGGCGCTCGCTCAGCGAATATCGTGACATGACTTACTTGACTTATGGTCCTATGTCCCCTAGATGGGGCAGAGGGCGTCCACAACAGTCCTCCATCTCGTTCGGTCTTGAGCTTCTCGCTTGATCTCGCTCCAGGTCTTGCCGATCTTCTTCGCCTCGTCCGCTACAGTGCGCCGCCAAGTTTGCCTGGGTCGACCACGTTTGCGTTTTCCTTGGGGATTCCAATCCAGAGCCTGCTTAGGGATGTGATCGGGGTCCCTTCGGAGAGTGTGGCCAATCCAGTTCCACTTGCGGCGCTTGATCTGCTGGTCGATCGGAATTTCGTGGCAGCGTTCCAATAGCTCGACGTTGGAGATTTTCTCGGGCCAGTATATGCCGAGAATTCGGCGAAGGCAGCGGTTGATGAAGACCTGCAGCTGGTGCGAGATAACCTTTGTGACCTTCCACGTTTCACACCCATAGAGCAGAACGGATTTAACGTTGGACCCGAATATTTTGATCTTGACCCTTCGGGTCAATTTCCGTGACTGCCATATGGGGCGAAGTTGTGCGAAGGTAGCTCTGGCCTTGGCAATGCGCGAAGTGATGTCCTCTTCGGTACCTCCAGTTTCTGACACGACGCTCCCGAGGTAGGTGAAATTGTGGACTCGTGCCACATCCTCTGCACCAATCCGTAATGGCGTGCAATTTCTCACACCAGATCGCATCTCTTGGGTCTTCCGGCAGTTAATTTTGAGCCCTGTGATACCCGCTTCTCGATGTAGGTCATTAAGTTTGGATTGCATATCGTGATGCGTGTGGCTCAGCAAACAGAGGTCATCGGCATAATCTAAGTCTTCTAAGACTCCGATTATACCCCACTCTATTCCACGCCGTTGGTCTTGATATGCGCGATTCATGACTCCATCCAAGACAACCAGAAAGAGAAGGGGCGAAAGCAGGCAGCCTTGCCGGACGCCCGCATGCACCTCGATGTCTTCGGAGATGAGGCCGTCGTGAGTCACCGTACAAGAATATTTCCTGTAGATGGCCTTCAGTAGGTCGATGATTTTCGGCGGGACACCAATGTCAGCGAGTCGCGACCATATACTTGCCCACTTCAGCGTATCAAAGGCTTTTTCAAAGTCTACAAAGGTTAGGTAGACTTCCCTTTGCGTGACATGACAAGTCATAAAATCACGAAGCTTTAAGCGGGTAAAGCTTGGTCCGTGAGCACGTAGAATTTTGTCCAATGACCCCAAGCTACCCATCCTTATCGCTCGCGCGTAATTATGTTGCTGTCGCGCTCGCACACTCACTGCGGGCGCGCGTCGCACAGTCGCGACAGCAAAATAATTACGCGCGAGCGATAAGGATGGGTAGCTTTACCAACGCGCAACGCACGACTGGGATTACGCATCTTTTTGGTAGTGACGGTTCAGTAGCGTGCGACGAGACACCATGCTACAACGCGAGAACTAATATGGGGCGTAAACAGAGCTACTGCGCGTCACCAAACTCTTCAGCGAGCAGTTGCCGAGACGGGGCAAAACGTGATGTGACGCGATACCACGCGACGTGACGTGACAAGATGCGACGTGGCGTGACGCGACGCAACGTGACATGACACGATGCATGCGCAGTGGCTAGTAAATACTTCTGAACAAGCCATTTCGATAGGCTATCCTGGACTTACTAAAAAGATATGGTTACTATCATACGAGTAACTTCATTAGTCGATTTCATGCGAATGAAAGTTGTGGATGGTGCCACGAGATTCGTAGTTACTAAATGGTATTTTGAATAGCTGCAGTATCAGCTTGTCTAGTTTAATATTAACTTAGGGCTGATTTTTCAATCGTCGGGTAACTTTTATCTGAAGAATAAGTTTGGCATATGGACAGTTTCAGTATGGAAAATATGTCAATGTGCCAAACATATTTTCTTAAAACTTATCCGACGACTGCAAATTAACCCTTAGAAATAATTTAAAAACAATGACCATCATTTTAATCTAATGAAATGACCACTTCACAGGTTGAAATCCTGCCGCTACCGACGCTACAGCGGCTGCTAGCAGCCCAGCTACCGCACACGCGACTGAAGCTGCTGCGGATCCCGTTCCACGCGACGTGGCGCCAGTCGCTGGCCGACTTCCAGTAGCCCTGCCCTCCCCCCACCCCGCGGGAGACGGGACTCGGCGGGGGAGACTACGTATCTATGACGGTACTGAAGGAAATGTGCAACTTGTATTCATTGTAGCAGGGATTCTTCTGTTTAAATGGTTGAGAGCGTTAGTGTATGTTAGAGCCTCATGTCATGGTAGGGAACATAAAGACATGCTAGAGGTATCTAAAGATATGCTAGGGGCGCCTAAAGACATGTTAGGGACGCCTCAAGGCATGTTAGGGACGCCTCAAGGCATGCTAGAGGCGCCTAGAGTCATGCTAGTGGTGTCTCAGTAAGACATGCTAGGGACGTCTCAAGCCATGCTAGGGACGTCTCAAGGCATGTTAGGGGTGTCTCAAGCCATGCTAGGGGCACTTCAAGAAAAGCTAGGCGCCTCAAGCCATGCTAGGGGCGCCTCAAGTCATGCTAGGGGCGCCTCAAGCCATGCTAGGGGCATCAGGTGTCTTGCCGCGAACGAATTTCAACCTCTAAAGATAGTCACAATGAAAATGATATTGTGAAACTACGCTGGTCTCTATGCTACTTCTTCCTGACGCCAGCCATATTTTCTGGTCTATTTGTCTCTTTTACTCAAGCTTGCATATGGTGCGAGCAAAAGGAATGGATAGACCCGAATATAAATAATACGGCGTTTGGGAGTAGACGCGAATAAAAGTTGCAGTAATACGGTAATTAGTCCACTTTTTACGGTAATGCTACATTGTAAATATTCATACAGTAAGCTAACGAATACGTTTTTTCTTTTCACAAGTTACTGAGTTTTGTATAAAAAATATTTCATACAAGCTTTGTATGAAAATGTTTAACATCTAAAATAAAAAGCTGATATGTACTGGGCTACTATGAATAATGTACAGTTTAATTCACTTTTATGTAAAAATCAATTATGAAACATGTTACTTGATAATTTGATTGCATAAGTACACACATTTTACGCACTTGTATTGTTATTACAAATAAATAAAATATATTTTAAATCGCATTGTATCTTTTAATATCGCTGGCGACAGATCAAACGATATTCCTAACTTTGACAACCATAAATTAAATGTCAGTGTCAAACAGAATGACAGCTGTTTCACAAAAGCGTTAGCTCGCTGTATTAATATTATTGGTCGCGCAACAAAAGTTCAGGTGAACACATACACTGATGTAATATTTGAATAAAGAATACACAAATCAGTCAGAATACGCAAGATAAAGTTGTCCAACACTAACGCCCGTATTCACAAACGGTTCTTGCTTAAGTGAAGCAGCAAATCGAACGCACAGCGTTGAATAGAGCTCTGTGATTGGTTCTTGTGTCACCCTGTGCGTTGAATAAGGGCGTGAATCGTTCCAGCTATGACACTGTCAGGAGAGCGCTACTATCACAACACTGGACAATTAGTTCCGATTTTTGCCACGTTGGATAACCGTATAATTATGACATTTACAGTAGGGCGCTACTGTCAATACTGTTAGTTTTTGATTTTGGCCAGATGACGTTTTAAAATCGTTGGACTATAGCGCTCTCATGTAAATGTTATATTATAGCTGTCCAACGTGGCCAAAATCGGAACTAATAATCCAGTATTGTTAGCAGCGCAGCGCCCTCTTATGTCATAGCTGGGACTTCTTATCCATGTGTCAAAGTGTTGCTGGTCCACTTTGATCACCTGGGTCTTCATGTCCAGGTGATCAAAGTGGAATAGACCTACAAATATTTGACTTCAAGTCTCGTTGCGCGATCAAGACACTGGTAGTGTTGCCAGCGCAATCGGCAATGTGGCGATAACATCTTCACAATTTCCATTATAGGAGCCACATTCTATTCTTGCCGTAGGCCGCCATATTGGCGTACAGTTGCCGAAGTTGCTCGTTTACAAGCACTTAGAATATTTGACGAACACTAACAAATGAATTACATACGATTTCTATTCGTTTACCTAATATCCGCAAGATCTTGGTAGGACTATACGCAGAAAAAGTAAGGGCGATGACAATTTAAACATAGAAACCGGCAAGGGTGGAGTTTTTCAAATCAAGTTTTCCATCTGGACCTGTATAAAGTAAGCTAGTATGAATAATTCGCCCGTGTGAAATTCAGTTTGTCACAGATCGTTATAAATGAAAGTCAGTAATTTTGATGTCTAAACAATAACACTGTAGTTTCATCAAAATCCTTTCTCTAGTTTTTGCGTGAAATAGTAATAAACATCCATACAGACTCATGTATGTCATGTAAATTTTTAACCTTATTTATAACTTTGTGTCAGAACTTTCATTTGAACGTTCTCATCCAGACTTGCCAGTTTCTATAAATCAGATAGACTTCTACTATCATCACACACACGATATCCAGTGTTGTTACCGCAATCGACATCCAACGGTGATACATTTGACCAAACAAATCGTTACTATACAAAACTAAAGCTTGAGTACAAACCAACAACGTAATGTAATTAACATAATATCGAAACGTGTGGTTAAAATACGACAGATTCAACAAAACTACATACTTGCTCAGTATATGCCTAGGTTGTAGCCATTACAGCGGTAAAAAATTGAAGTATTTTCATTGTAATCTCTATTAAAACAGATTAATCAAGTTGAAAATACAGTAGCTGTAAAGTAATATTCCTGGCATAAACAAAGGACATCGGCTGTGCACTTTTTTATTCGAGTCAGTAAACTGAGGTCTATAGACAGTAATGATTAATCATAGAGAAAAATATTTAACTATAAAATGTAGTTTTACTGACCCGAATCAACTGTACTATAAATGTAATTTATGTTCATTTGGTGTGTTTCTTTCAAATTAAGGTCAAATCAGGCATTGTTATCACTATATCTTAAAATTATGATTATAAGTACCGATCTACAAAGAAAGAAGTGATACTTTTATACTGCTTTTTAAAGGATATCAGTAGTTTAATGGTTGAATGTGACTTTATTGGTGTTGTGTGTTTTTTCTTGTAAGAGAGAAATTATTGAATAGGATATATTTAAACAGTTCTTAAAATTTTACTATGGAAATGTTTTTGCTTCATTCGAGAACAATTTCACTAATATTTTTACCATGTCAACTAGCCTGTTAGGCTGGTTTTAGTGTCACGCGGACCGTCCGGTGCGGACCCGATCCGCACGGCCAATCTGTATGAACTTCTAGGAAGCGTTTTAGAGTAATGCGGTCCAGAGGAACCGCTCCTCTCCCTAGCACTTCATACAAATCAGGTGTGCGGAGCAATCCGAACTGACAGTCCGCGTGACACTAAAACCAGCCTTAGTCGTTCCATAATTAAATATTGTCAATAAGTTGTTGAAACTCATAATTCGTTTGTGAGCACGTTAACAATGTTATATTATTAAATTGAACATAGATATTATGTTCAAAAGTTAGCCACGAAAATCATAGATAAACGTTTATTCCACAGTGAACTTCTTTATATATTTTCTCACTCAAAGAAAGTTGATACGAACACGTATTCATCCTACATTACATTCAAGTTCATATATCGTATGTAAGGGACAGTTTTTAATCTTACTCAATTTGAATTATTTCATCCTACTCGATTCGAGTCACTTGGCTTGCATATTTGATCCTTTTTATACTAATACATTAAGCTCAGCGTTATAAATTACGGATCTCGAAAGATACGTTACAAATGCGGTTCATTTTTACATTTTACCCTATTGCGCCAGAAGGAGGGTAAAAATAAACCGCACTCTCAATAAACAGCAAGCTAGTTCTATACTAAAGCAAGAATTATTACATTAATTAAGAATAATATGCCACGAGATTTATTACGTGCTTGTCATGTATCACGGTAGCAAATTCGTGACTAAAATCAACAAAGGGTTATTTCACTTATCCCTATTGTCTCTCCCCTATGGACTGTAATTTTCTTTCATATTGTTCCTCAAACAAAGTAGTTTGTGGAAGAAGAGTTCACAATTTATAGTTCATACCAATGAATGAATCCACCATTGATGGAGCGAGTTATAAGTGGAATAACCCAAAATCAATAAAGAAAACGAACCTATTGAAACATGTGCCAGTTATAACTATATTACGAAAACATGAGTGCCTATGCTTTTTGACACCAGACATACGTTATTAGCAATAGACATTACATTTATAATGTAGCTTAGATTTTTCTAATTCATCAAACTTAGATACATAGATTAATATATTGACCTCTATGTAGCCGTGAGTGTATAGTCCCAAAATACTGAACTGTCCTATGCATGACATTGACAGTGGGGCGCCACCGTCAATACCGGATCGCTGGTTCCGATTTTTGCCATGTTGGGAACCATATTGTTGAACGATGGTAGCGCCCCCCTGTCATTGAGTTTGGTGGGACGGGACAGATCAGTGTGGGTCATCTATACCGACCTTTAGTTGTTTGTCTATAGATTAACTATTTTTGAAGACAGTTTAGCAAATTTAAGAAAAATAATATTATCAAGTCTTACAATGTGAGTTATTAATTTATTATACTGAAATACATGCCTAGATTTAACGCAAGCAATACTACACATAATAAATTAGATTTAGTAATATTATATCGGTTACTGCCTGCCAAAGTGATACACAAGATCAGTGAGTTAGAGAAATTTAATCCAATTGTATATTTAAGTACTGCCTTAATGCGCAAGAGAAATATATATAAATATATTTAAATTCAATATAATATGGGGTAAAGTGATGTAATTGATTTATTTATATGGCGATTATGCTGAATTTGTGTAGTCAGATATCGATATATTACTTTATGTATTTTGCCTACGAGTTAAACAATATGTTTACCTAACAGTGATTGGTAAATATAGTGAGATCTCGATCTAGAATAATGTCGAATTCGCGTATTTCTTACCGAAAAGTGAAGTTAACCTTTTCGATGTCAAATTCGGCATTTTATCCCTTCAAGCTTCGCGAATTGAGACACAATAGAAATCAATTATTACATGCGACCGCTTTGGGTTTGATGGGATATCGATATGAATCAACATCGAAGTCAATCCATGACTTTAGTCTACTGTCTGAACAGTATGCTATCATCATTGTAAACCAATGATGATAGCATACTGTTCAGACAGTAAGTTCAAAGTATGATGATGTACCCCAGCCCAAGACCCGACAACGGGTAAATCGGTTTTATGATGTGTTAGCTTTGTTGTTATAAAGTCCGTACAGTACGCACAGGTTTGTTTCCGCAAAATACAGCTGCGTTTTATAATTATATTGCTAATAAATGAGCAGAGACCGAATAACTGAAGACACGGCACGGGGGTGTTTATGTGACGGTCAAACGTCAAATCTTCAGATTTGTATGCTCTGTCACGTCATTATGTCAATGTCACCCATCGCGTGCGCTCCCATATCTCAAGGCACTGACTAAGACGTTTACCTATCATTGATTTTAATCCCTAAACTCTGGCGAAAAGGACCTTATAAGAGAGAAATATAATATTGCTACATTATTACATAAGGATCAGAATACACCAATATTTAGCACCGTTGCCGAAACTGTTATATTAGCCTTAATGCTGTTTTTGATATAGACAAAATAAATAGAGAATTATATTTACTAGTTCTACAATATAGTGTCCAGTTATTTAACTTACCTGAAACGCGGTTAGTTAGATCACTGCATAACAATAGATGGGTTACATAGTCTAAGCCGGTTTCTTTTTAATACACATAGCTTTTAATATGTGCATTATTATAAATAAATAACTCTATGTACAATTACTAATGGTGCATCTAGTAAACCCATTTGACTAATTGAACTCTTAGTTATAGGGCGTACGAGAAAATTGAACTGTTGAAAGTCAAAAGTCATTTATTTTCTGCAAATAGGCTTTTAAAAAGCTTTTACGCTGAAATTAACTTGATGCTGATTCAAATGCATTTATCACACAGTTTAAAGCACTATTCAGTTTTCTTGTACGTTATGTGACTGTTTATATCACCCGCTAACATTTTATGGATATAGTTAATAATATTATTGTTTATTAACGATTTCACACGATAGCCAATATAGAAACAATATAACTAGTTATACTATCATTGATCACGTTCGTCTAATTATGTATCTTTTTAAATTATAGTTTTCAAAATCCCTTAGTAAAATAGATGATAATGTATAAACTTTCTTTTAGACACGCCCATGTTTGGCGTAAGGCTAGGCATAGACCATCGACTTTTAGTTGGCCGATAGTTGAGTAGGACTGTTAATCAGTATTGAGATATAAGAACGTGCGCACATTACGCCGATTTGGTATCGACCGATTCTTCATACAAATTAGAATCGGGCCCAACTATCGGCCAACTAAATGTCGGTGGTCTGCGCCTAGGCTAAATATTCAAAGTATATGAATTCAAAGATTACTCGTATTGTATAAGTGCGCTAAGTTGCGTTCCTATATTTTTCTTGTTATAAAAACGTTATTTTACTCCCAAATGATCATAATAGATTATTCAATGAAATATATTGGTTAGTTGTAACATTACTTTTAGTAATTTTTAAATTAAGTATTGTACATATTTTTTAAACTAGATTAGTGATCGGTGCCTGTAAAGAACTCGAGGCAGACACAAGCGCAACTAGTTGAATAATAAAGTGTGTATTGTTAATTTTAATAAATATATAATTATGAACCTTTGAAATATAGGGACTGATATTTTCTTTATAAATAGTTATAGGAAATTATGTGGCAATGATTGGACGGACATATATTATTTTTTTAAGATGTATATGTGTGCAAAGTACAAGGAACAGCCGTGTCGGAGGCTTTTGCCGGGAAGTAGGCTTTGAGGGCAAAATAAATATCACATAAGCATTTTTTATCCTATTGGTTTATTTTATAACAAAATTGCATGTACTGAAAAAATGCTTGTGTGATTTATATGTTTATAAAACTGGATTAAACAGTCCATTGAACATTTTTAAGATCTCATTATCAGACCCACATCTGTAGTTCTACATCGTACAGCAGGCTTGAGATATGTACCACTGTTTTTAATTGTTTAAGCTTCTTGTTTTACGCATTTTCTATGGTTGTTTTCTGACTTGTCGGCGAGGCAGCGGCACGACATCAGCACGCTTGGCATATGCGGTACCGAAAGCTTACCGAGCGCCTATATTTCAATGGAGCGTCCTTGATTGACGCGGCATACCTAGCGTGCTGTGGCCTAATTCACGCATTTTGACACAGTCAAAATCTCGTGGACGTTTAGAAGTCGTCCTATTGAAAAACAGTTCTAAATCCGTATTCACAAGGATAATTTTCAACCGACTTCAAAAAAAGGAGGAGGTTCTCAATTCGACCCGTATGTTTTTTTTTTTGATAGAACGATTACTCGATAGGATCGCAATTCAGCGATTTGTTGTCGTTGAAGTTTTGTTACGTGAATAAGGCTACTGATTTCGTGCCGCTGCCGCGTCGGCAAGTCTGAAAACGGCCCTATATAATCTGTTTCAGCTTCGATTGTCTATCACTTACGTTGTGATTTATTTAATTGCTCTTATCTTTATTCTAACTCGATCTTATTTAGGCAGATACTCGCGTATCGTAAATTATTTGTTTCTTAATTAGGACCATGACTTGCAATGTAAAAGCATAGCTTTTTATTGAATATAATTTAGACAGTTAAGTCTATATTGTTTATAATCTCTTTGAAACATATTTTTCTTGTATTTTACTGTAGCGGTTACGTTGGTGGGATCGACCTCGCCTCGGCGTTTTATGTAAAAATTGTGGGTAGTAACAAATTCGTCGCCGACGCTCGCGTCCGAGGACGATCTTTACGATACTAGGTTAATTATAGAGTAAAGACAACTTTGCTAGTAAGCATAGGCGACTTATAAAATAAACGGTTGCCCAAAATAATATTGTTTTACTTTACAGAGTGCGTCCATCCCTACTATCACTATCCCTACTAATATTATAAATGCGAAAGTAACTCTGTCTGTCTGTTACGCTTTCACGCCTAAACCACTGAACTAATTTTGATGAAATTTGGCATAGAGATAGTTTGAATTCCGGGAACGGACATAGGATAGTTTTTATCCCGGTTTTTGAAACAGGGACGCGCGCTATAAAGTTTTTCTGTGACAGACAAAATTCCACGCGGGCGAAGCCGCGGGCGGTAAGCTAGTTTCCCATAAATCCAAATCCTTTTAAATACCTGGGAAAGTTGTCACCTCACGAAACATTGCCAGTGACAAAAATAGCCCCTTCTAAATTATGCTTAATAATGCCTAAGATAAGTTTTAAACGATGTCAAATAAAACAACTCAAGTACTAAAACATTTTTGTATATTTTCATAATTATAAAATAGTACCTAATTCAAAATACATATTATTTCCTATGAATACAGATAACATTTACGCTTACAGCTCTATCAGATTACTAGACATGCAAAATTTTGGTTTAAGTTTAAATAACAAGTTAAATAATGTCATACATGAGCCCAATCCGTACCAACAAACAATAAATAGTTTTCGATCATACCTCGAGCTGTCTTTAGAAAAAGTGTAGGGTAGATAGCTTAATTCAAATAGATGCTAACACAATCATTCTAGTTTTGGCTTTTGGTGTGCTTCACAAATCAATATAAGAAAGTTCTGAAATGGTTAATAAAATGTCAAGCTTGTTTCATTCTAGATGTTACAAACGATTGAACATTTAAGTAGTTGGGTAAATGGTGCTTTTGTATTTTTTACGATTTTATTATTCTCGTAATAAAACTTCATTTTATTTTTCAGTGTAGCACACCCTCGCAATTAAAATAAACCCTTTATGGTGAAACCCACAGGTGAAACTAGTGGGAGGGATCCACGAAAGAAAATTATCCGAATCGGTAATTTGACACAAATTACGTAATATTACCTAATTTAACATACAATGTGTCAAACTAGCGTCCCAGTACCCTCGACACACCACACGCTCATTATGCACCTTATGCCGTGGTAATACATGCGGTGTTGCGTGATGCGCAGGCGCCGGTTTTATGTATCGACGACGCATCAAGCTTAACACTGCACCTATGGGCGTACCCAGCTTCTGTTTGGCCCAAGTCTAGTAAAAATAGAACGAATCAATGAAGGTATGTAACTTTTACATTTTCCAATCAAACCAAAATCAAACGAGCGGCCAGTCTGCTTATGACCAAGGCTGTAGTAACAGCCGAAACGTCAAGTTGTGAGTGACTAACTAATGTACTCGTATAAAAAAGACGCGTTAGACTTGTCTTGTGTTTCTCAATTTTTAAGGTAGGTATGTAGGTTTAAAATTTTAGAGTGGGTAGCAGATCCTCAGTACGCCCAAAACTGCACCTCGAGTGGTGGTAACAGGTGCGTGGTCGAGTGATGCGCAGGCGCCGGTTTTTTTTATCGACGACGCATCAAGCTCCCCACTGTACCTATGGGCGTACCCAGCTTCTGTCCAGCTCAAGTCTGGTAGAACAAAACGAGGTATGTAGAGGTTAAAAATTTAAGTGGGTAAAGCCCGGTCTGTGAGCACGTAGAATTTTGTCCAATGACCCCAAGCAACCCATCCTTATCGCTCGCGCGTAATATTGCCGTCGCGACTGTGCGACGGGCGCCCGCAGTGAGTGTGCGAGCGCGACAGCAACATAATTACGCGCGAGCGATAAGGATGGGTAGCTAGGGGTCATTGGACAAAATTCTACGTGCTCACAGACCAGACTATAGCAGATCCTCAGTACGCCCAAGACTGCACCTCAAGCGGTGGTAAAGGTGCGTGGTCGCGGTGCGGTCGCTAGTCTAGTCTATTCGGCGCGCGCGTCGGGGTGCCTCTCCAGTAACATAGCGACGCCTTGGCCGCCAGCCGCGCAGGCCGAGATCAGCCCGATCTGGCCGTCCTCGCGGACCAGGCGGTGGGCCGTGTGCATGGCTAGACGCACCTGGGATAAAAAGGATAAAAATTACACAACGCCATATGGTTTAGAGTTTAGAGGGAAGGATAACTGGGCTTATTCCACTATTCCCCGTTGACAATCCCCGTTATAATAGGATTTTATTTTGATTTTATAAGTTTCTATTGGCTTTAACGGGGAATAGTGAACAAAAAGTTCACTAATCCGAGATCAGCCCGATCTGGCCGTCCTCGCGCACCAGGCGGTGCGCCGTGTGCATGGCTAGACGCACCTGGGATAAAAAAGGATAAAAATTACACAACGCCATATGGTTTAGAGGGAAGGATAACTGGGCTTATTCCACTATTCCCCGTTCCCCTTCTCAGCACTTGCCAAATGTTTGTCTCGAAGCGCTGGTAGGGCAAAAAAAGAATGAGACATGTATAGGCTCCTTAAGAGCATTTGACGATTTGCAAGTACTAATTTAATTAGTCTAAACAAATAAAGATAATTTTGATTTGATTTGACAATCCCCGTCAACGGGGATTATTGAAGAAAAAGTTCATTAATCCCCGTTATAATAGGATTTTATTTAGATTTTATAAGTTCCAATTGGCGTTAACGGGGAATAGTGAACAAAGAGTTCACTAATCCCCGTTGACGGGGATTGTCAATGGGGAATAGTGGAATAAGCCGAAAACTGGTTTAGTCTTTAGAAAGCACATTAAAATTACGAACACTTTAAAGGGTCTTATCCTTTAAATTCCCATCATCTTTAATGAAATTATTATTATTAAGTACAGCCCACATGAACCTATTCAGTTACTGAAAGGTGATCCATTAGTGACTTATTTATTTATTTACATTTCACTGCCATTACAGGATGACCCAATGCGACAGTGAATCATGTGATGTGGCCAAAACGAAACGTAACGGTAATTTTTTATTCCCCCCTCCCCCCTGTATCTTTATCTGTATGTAAATTGTGTATTTTTCAAATATACATTGAGGGACTATGAATATAAGCTTACACCATTTTAGTCTTTCAATCAATTATTTTGATTTAACTTACCCCAGTAGCGGCGAAGGGGTGGCCAATAGAGAGCGATCCACCCCAGCTATTCCACTTGCTCAAGTCTGGGCTTCCGACCTGAAACAGACAATTTAATAGTAACACTTCAAAATAATTAATTGTTCTGCATTATAAAGTATTGTTTGCTAATTACCTTCGATTGGCGACCGAGGTAAGTCTGGCTGAACCAGTCAGAGTCCAACGCCTTCAAGTTGGCAAGGATTTGGCCCTGGAAAAGATAAGTACTTTCAGCATCAATAATCCCAAAGTTCTAATAAGCCGACCGCAGATCACAGCCTGCTAAAGAACTGATTTAAACCCCTGGATGAGATGTTACCCCTGGATGAGATGTTAAAATTAAGAAGGAATCTTAGTAAAAAAAAGCATCGTGATATCACATCACCTTATTGCAACATTGAAGCCATAAAAAGAAATTTAAACGAATCTAAGCAGTCGTCTATAATATTAGCATTGGTGAGTAAAATATTTAATTGAGTTTCATGTGTTAAGAAAAGCCCTCATCTATAAATTGCTGTCCTGTATTATCAAGTAAATTATTATTTGTGCCGTATCTTTTGAATATTTTTTTTTCTTGTCTTGTGTGGTGTGTGTCTATCTATAAATAAAATATGACTTACAGCGAAAGCCTCGTGGATCTCCCAGGTGTCGATGTCGCTCATCTTCAATCCTGCCTTCTCCAGGATCTTGGGGATGCCGTAAGCCGGGCCTAGCAGCAGCTGGTCTACCGGGTCCTGTGGGAAGAGGCCTAATGTGAGATACGTGCGAGGGTGCTCAAGGTTTGAATTGGAGAACGAGGTAATTGGAACCATCTAAATATATAAAAGGAGAAACTGACTGACTGACATATCAACGCACAGCCTAACGGCTAAACGTAGGGACATGAAATTTGGAAGGGACGTAGCTTAGGTACCGTAGAGGTGCACTAAGAAAGGAATTCCCGAAATTCCCACGGGAACGGGAATGCCTTCAGGACAACGCTGATGATACGGTTTTCATTATTAATTTGTTCGTCTATTTGTTGAAAGAAGACATTTTTGTAAATACAATCCTATTTTCCGCCAGTGGGAGTGACATTGGTACAGCCAGCGTTAAAAAGTTCGTGACACCCAAATCCTACTAATATTATAAATGCGAAAGTTTGGATGTTTGTCACTCTTTCACGCAAAAACTACCGAACGGATTTCGATGAAACATTACAGTATTATTGTTTATAACCCAGATTAACATATAGGCTATAATTTATGACGATCAGTGACAAACCAAACTTCACGCGGATGAAGCCGCGGGCAAAAACTAATAGCCATTAAGTTCACAATCACAACACGTCTTCGTCACAAATGGAATGTGGTTGTGTTGTCAACTTTTTGGTCACTTTGGACACGAACTATTTGACGCTGACTGTACCTACTGTACCTGGTGTTAACCCTGCCTTACCTGGGCCACGTAGGTGAAGTCGCGCACGTAGGCCTTGGGCTTGAGGCCCAGCTCCTTGGCCTTGGCCTCCGACATCACCAGGCACGCCGACGCGCCGTCCGTCTGTAAACATAAGACATTAATGATATGCTTTATCTACATCTACACTAATATTATAAAGAGGAAAGATTTGTACCTATTTTTGTATGTTTGTAATGAATAGGCTCAAAAAGTACTGGGCCGATTTAAAAAATTATTTCACCATTCGAAAGCTACATTATCCACGAGTAACATAGGCTAAGTTTTATTTTGGAAAAATATAGGGTTCAGGGGTCCAAGCGCGCGAAGCCGCGGGCGGGAAGCTAGTCAATTGATAAAAACACTGAAAATCGCCAAAAATAGAAATTTTATATCTTGTAAAATTATTTGCATTGTCTTAACGAACTAGTGCTTAAATCACAAAATACCTAATAGGTTCAACAAAAGGATCACTCAGGATTGCCAATTTTTACGATGCAAAAAACTCAATATGTGAAGACCAAATTCGTCCCATGGGAAAGTAATCATTTGACACGCAATAGAAATCCCATCGTTCCCACCGCTGCAACTCTTTCACCGTCAATAAAACCCAACCAGTGAAGGTCAAGTTTGTCCCATGGAAAAGTTAAATCGTCGTTGGACATGCAACGAAATTAATCAGAAGAATATAGTATATAGGAGGGGTGTAGAGTACCTAATTGTGCACTATTCACTGGCTCACCGTCACACCAAGCGTCTCACTGCGGTACGTCCATCCTCGCCGGCGTCTGCCGTACGACTGACTCGTTTCACTCGCAACGATGCCACGATGAATCTAGTACGTAAATACAAACACTACCGAGGGTTTCAAAGGTAGTAATAAATAAGCAGTACTCACCAGGAAGGAGATGATCCGCAGGAGAACTAAAGTGACCGACATAGCTCGCAGAATTGCTAAAATCAAGTGGCTGTGGGCGGGGCACATAGCTCGTAGAGACGATGGCCGTTGGGCAGAAAAGTTCTCGAGTGGCGACCACGGGCTGGAAGACGTAGCGTGGGCAGGCCTCCCACTAGGTGGACCGACGATCTGGTGAAGGTCGCGGGAGGTACCTGGATGCAAGCGGCGTAAGACCGGTCTTTGTGGAAATCCTTGGGGGAGGCCTTTGTCCAGCAGTGGACATCTTTCGGCTGAAACGAACGAACTTACCAGGAAGGAGATGATCCGCAGGAGAACCAAAGTAACCGACATAGCTCGCAGAATTGCTAAAATCAAGTGGCAGTGGGCGGGGCACATAGCTCGTAGAGACGATGGCAGTTGGGCAGAAAAGTTCTCGAGTGGCGACCACGGGCTGGAAGACGTAGCGTGGGCAGGCCTCCTACTAGGTGGACCGACGATCTGGTGAAGGTCGCGGGAAGAGCCTGGATGCGGGCAGCGCCGGACCGTGAATTGTGGAAAACCTTGGAGGAGGCCTTTGTCCAGCAGTGGACGTTATTCGGCTGAAACGAACGAACGAACTCACCAGGAAGGAAGCGTTGGCGGCGGTGACGGTGCCGTGCGGCTTGATGAAGGCGGGCCGCAGCTTGGCCAGCTGCTCGGGCGTCGACACGCGGATGCCGTTGTCCTTCTCCACGAGGCCGTCCTTGCCCTCCACTGGAACATAATAATAATAAGGTTTCTACCAAAGCAGTGGTGTTGTGATTCACCAATAACCATCGGATTTAGGCCGCCTTCACATTAGCAACGCGGCAGCGGCATTTTTATAATGTGAAGGCAGCCATCCGCTGTCATATAGTATGAAATTATCGGCAGCGCGTCTGTTACGCGTTTGTCGCGCTGCTAAAGTCGCTTAAATGTGAAAGCGCTCTTAGTTATTTCCTCATTACTCCATTCAGCTCAAGTTCGGAAATCTGGTTGGTTATTTAATTCTGTCATTCTATCTTTTCCGTTTTGATAAAAATCGGCATCAGCAGATCAGTTAGTCTCCATTGCAGGAGTCCAACCCTATTGAATTTCATTTCAACCAACTGGACAAAAATGTCTCCCACAAAGATTTCTCCAGCAACCGGTCCTGCGTTGCACCCATACAATTGTGAGTCTACTTAGGGTAATCTAATTTTTGTTGAATAACATTTGGCCATTCCGTGTATTTGTTACATATTTATTTATTAGCTTTCCGCCCGCGGCTTTGCCCGCGTGGAATTTTGCCTGTCACAGAAAAACTTTATAACGCGCGTCCCTGTTTCACAAACCGGGATAAATACTATCCTATGTCCTTTCCCGGGACTCAAACTATCTCTATACCAAATTTCATCAAAATCGGTTCTTTGGTTTAGGCGTGAAAGAAAGAGAGACAGACAGACAGACAGAGTTACTTTCGCATTTATAATATTAATATAGAAGTATAGATATGACGGTCTGTGACAAACTAATTTTCACGCGGGTGAAGCCGCGGGCACAGCTAGTTTGTTACATATTTATTTACTTTCACCAACTTATACTATCTTTATTCATAGTAATAACATAGTAAAATTTCAGCGAGATAGATCAAGATAAAGTTTAGTGAACGTTGCTCACCTTTGACGGGGATGAGGTCCGTAAAGTATCCCTTCTGCTGCGCCTGCGCCGCGAGCGTGTGTGAGCGCAGCGCGTAGTCGTCTTGCTCCTTGCGCGTGGCGCCGAAAGCCGCCGCCAGCCGGTCGGCGCTGTGGCCCATCGTCTCGCCTGACGAGAACTCCGCCACGGCGGGCAGCTGGAAATTGCGGGTAGACTCATAAAGCGGCTCAAAGTAAGCCTAAACTAGGTTTATACACTCTCACACTCACTGCGGGCGCCCGTCCCACAGTCGCGATAGCAATATAATTACGCGCGAACGATAAGGATGGGTAGCTTGGGGTCATTTGACAAAATTCTACGTGCTCCCGGACCAAACTATAGTCCCGATAACTTTCCTCCCTTAAGTTAGGCTTAGGACTGAGTTGACCACAGTTCGAACAAAATCTGTGTAAAAGTTTAGAGCGGACGTCAATTGTGCGATTGTAAGATTGAGCACACTACTGTTGGCAAAAGTTATTTTTCCCATTTGTTCGCGCTGTTGCCCTCGTCTCGCTTGAGAACCCAGCTACTGCGGGCAGCTGGAAACCGTGGTAGTTGATTGTTTCTAATTAAAAGTTTACAAAGCGTTACAGGACGTCAGTTATGCGTTTGCAAGACTGCACACTAAGGATTGCGCACGAACGAACGAGCTGCACTGGTTAAAAGGTGACGTATATTGTATTACTGTAGTTTCGGCGGGTAAATGAGCACGTACGCAAGTCGCAGACATATGCTGCCACAAGTGGTCACGCCACACGTGCGGGTACCTACAAGTCCTCAACATGATATTTTTGAAGTAAGCACTAAGCGCAGCAGGAGCGCGAGTGTTGGAGCCCTAGCTTGGCGAATGATGAAGCTCTATTTGGGGCTCTATTTAGGCGACTGTAGCCTGCAAGTGGAGCCCTACTTGTACTCACCTCTGGCGCGAAGTAGTCAGGCCTGATAGACGCCAAAAGCGCGAGTCTCTGCGCAGGAGTCTTGGCGCGGTTAAGGCGCAGCAGCAGCGCTCGCATCTTGTGCGAGTGTCAGAGCGCTAGCACGGCGAGTGTTGAAGCTCATTTCGGTCGCCGAGTAAATGCACTGTGCGACAGGCGGCCGCAGTAAGTGTGCGAGCGCGATAGCAATATAATTACGTCCGAGCGATAAGGAAGGGTAACTTGGGGTCATTGTACGAAATTTCTACTCGGCGAATGGACTTTAGCTGGGCGAGTATTGGGGCTCTAGTTAGCGAATGTTGAAGCTTAAGTGTTGTTTTCTTACCTAGTTAGCGAATGTTGAATCTTAAGTGTTGTCCTCTTACCTCGGGCGCGAAGTAATCAGGTCTGATAGACGCCAGGAGTGCCAATCTCTGCGCAGGAGCCTTGGCGCGATTAAGGCGCAACAGCAGCGCTCGCATCTTGCGCGATTACTGGGGCCCTAGCTCGACGAGTGTTTGAGCTCTAGCTAGGAGAGTTGGAGCGCTAGTTCAGCGAGTATAGCTAGCGAGTGTGGCGAGTGTTTCAGTCTTGCTACTCACCTCGGGCGCAAAGTAGTCAGGCCTGATAGACGCCAGGAGTGCCAATCTCTGCGCCGGAGTCTTGGCGCGATTGAGGCGCAACAGCAGCGCTCGCATCTTGCGCGATTACTGGGGCCCTAGCTCGACGAGTGTTGGAGCCGTAACTTGGCGAGTGTCGGAGCCCTACTTAGCGACTATTGGAGCCCTAGTTAGCTACGTGATCCCCTACTTGTAGTCACCTCGGGCGCGAAGTAATCAGGCCTGATAGACGCCAAAAGCGCAAGTCTCTGCGCGGGAGTCTTAGCGCGGTTAAGGCGCAGCAGCAGCGCTCGCATCTTGCGCGAGCGCCTTGAGCCTTAGCTAGCGAGTGTCAGAACGCTAGCTCGGCGAGTTGGAGCGCTAGTTCAGCGAGTATAGCTAGCGAGTGTGGCGAGTGTTTCAGTCTTGCTACTCACCTCAGGCGCAAAGTAGTCAGGCCTGATAGACGCCAAAAGCGCCAATCTCTGCGCCGGAGTCTTGGCGCGGTTAAGGCGCAGCAGCAGCGCTCGCATCTTGCGCGATTACTGGGGCCCTAGCTCGACGAGTGTTTGAGATATAGCTAGCGAGAGTTGGAGCCCTACTTAACGAGTTTTAGAGCCCTACTTAGCGAATATTGGAGACCTACTTAGCGACTGTTGGAGTCTTAGCTAGCTAGAGGAATCCTATTATGTACTCACCTCTGGCGCGAAGTAATCGGGCCTGATAGATGCTAGGAGCGCGAGTCTCTGCGTGGGAGTCTGTAGTTGAGCGAATGTTGGAGCCCTAACTTGCTACTTGTACTCACCTCGGGCGCGAAGTAATCCGGCCTGATAGACGCCAAAAGCGCCAATCTCTGCGCCGGAGTCTTGGCGCGGTTAAGGCGCAGCAGCAGCGCTCGCATCTTGCGTAAGTGCCTTAAGCCTTAGCTAGCGAGTGTCAGAACGCTAGCTCGGCGAGTGTTGCAGCTATAGTTAGGCGAGTATCGGAGCCCTACTAAAGCCCGGTCCGTGAGCACGTAGAATTTTGTCTAATGACCCCAAGCTACCCATCCTTATCGCTCGCGCGTAATTATATTGCTGTCGCGACTGTGCGACGGGCGGCCGCTGTGAGTGTGCGAACGCTAAGGATGGGCAGCTAGGGATCATTGGACAAAATTCTACGTGCTCGCGGACCAGACTATAGCCACTTACCTCGGGCGCGAAGTAATCAGGCCTGATAGACGCCAAAAGCGCAAGTCTCTGCGCAGGAGTCTTGGCGCGGTTAAGGCGCAGCAGTAGCGCTCGCATCTTGCGCGAGTGCCTGATGGGCACATCCGACATGAACTCCACGCCACCGGCTACGATCACGTCGTAAGCGCCCGCCGCGATCATGCCCACGCCTGGGAAACATGCCCACATTGTATTTACGTCACCGTAAAATTGTGAATTTATTTGTATATTATTGATATGGCCCAATAAATAAATAAATTCCGTCAGATTATAATCTGACGTAGGTAGTTAGATTACAATCTTACCTAACCCATCCCACGTTTAGATTAAAATCTCACACGTTGTATTATAAAGTGACGGAGTTCATTTCACGTTGACATTTATACACAGAGCCCACATTGGAGTGCCCTGAAAAGGGCTTCCATCCTCAAAGGATCTACAGAAATCCTCAGAAATCTCCCATCTCGTTCTTCAGTGAGACAAGTGTTTTAGAGCGTCAACAAATTAAAATACTACATCCTTTCTAAAAAAAAATAAGTCTTGCTATCGCCCGCACAGCGTCAACACGCGGTCCCATTCTTTCAAAAACATCAATCCAGTCTTAGCAAGTTGGCTTTTAACCATTCCATATCTGATTTTATGGAAAGACCAGCTGGGTCTTTACAAAATTATTTTAAAAAATATGACTGTAACTTGTTTTGTAAGTCATAAATAAATTTCACGAAGGATGGGTGGTAATTTTTTTAAATCTGCTCACCGGTAGTAATAGCCTGGTTAGCCGATATGCAAGCCATAGTGACGGTGTGCGCAGGCGTGCGGTCGCTGAAGCCAGCCGCCAGCGCCGCCTCGCGACCGATGTTGGAAGTTTTGACCTCCTGGATGACCGTCCCGTACACTATGTAGTCGATCACCTCCTTGGATATGCCTGTCTTTTGGAGGAGACCCCTGTGGAAGAAATAGTGGTTATTGTGTTGTGTAACACAAGCATAATGTGTATTTATATTTAGCTATGAGTTATGAGGACAATTTTTTTTTAATATAGCTTTAAAAGTGCACCACTTAACTTTGACTGTAACTTTAACAATAACCGGTGTTTTTTGTATGGAGTTCGACAGACTTTTGACGTTTGTCAAAGTCAAAGTAAGATGGTGCAACCCAGCCTTAGGCTTTCAAATAGCATAAAATACGTTCAAGATATTCAGCTCTGAATTTTTGCGAAAAAAAGAAAAACATTGAAAATAGTAACATACAGGAATCTCAAATGCATACCTGTTATAAATATATGAAATTTAATAATAAAGTGCAATCCTGATTTCTGACAAAAATTAATTAATAATGTTCTTCAAGACTTGTCAAATATTTAATAGTTAAAACAACTCACAGCAAAGAGTGTCTCGCCAGCTCGTGCGGCATCATCTTGGCGTAATCGGTGAAGGAGACCAGGAAGGGAGTACGGACTCCGTCCACCAGCACCACATTCTTGCCAGTGCGGTCGGGGAGGGTCTTCTTCTGTTGCAGTGCTGCCCCCACGGAGAGGGCTCTGCGCGCTGTGTCTGATGGAATAAATAGAGACGATATTTGTATTTACTTACGTATCAAACATATTACTATTACTATGAACCATATTATTATCATAGCTGGGCATTAACTCGTTAATCCGTTAATCGTTAATTAACGAAGTTAACATTTCTATTAACGGATTAACTTTTAAGTTAACTTTAAAAAATGTTAACGGACTCGTTAACTTCCGTTAAATTATCCTAAGTCCGTTAATCGTTAATCCAGTACCTACTATTTGCCAAAAAGATACAGCAGGCACGCTGAAAAACACTAGAAAAACGCGTTCTGACAAGTACGTTCGGGCTTCCAGAACTTCCAGAACCCAAAACAACAGTTTTTGTAACCAGAAAGAAGCGATATAAAAATGCTATTTTTTTATTTATTTACAAGCTTATACAGGGTGGAATTATGTAACGCCACCTGGAGGGAAAGTACTCTTAATACTGCAGATAGAAAATTTTACTGAAAGAAAACATTCCTTTATTTTTGAAAAGAAAGAGAACTGCATAATTAAATTAATTTAAGATTTTATGGATTTCCTTTCATTTGATTTATCAAGTTTGTTAGAGAGATTTCATCCTTACACTTGACCCTAACGATCGATGCAATAAAAATACAGGTGTAATTTTTAACAGATTTTAGTTGGTTCGATTCCCGGGTGGCAAATATTTTTTTGAAATCTTTGAATGCAGTTCTATTTGTTTTCAAAAATAAAGGAATGTATTTTTGATATTTTTTTTCTATCTACACCTGTATATTGACTTCACTTGTTAGTATGTGTGGGACAAATCTTGCAACTGAATTTAAGGCCAGTTCTCCTCAACCGATTGAGCTGCAATTTGGTATACTTATGTAAGTACGATGAAAATGCAATGTTGTGGTACCATTGAGCTGGTCTAATGATGGAGTCAGGAGACGGCCATAGGAACTCCTAAATGAAACGGCGGAATCGCATCGAATTTGGGTTTGTTGGATTTGTCTTTTTGAGCACATTGGTGCTAAATTGTATTGTAATTGAACCAAGGCTCTGAGATTGAGATACTATAGACTAAGAGCTGGTGAACGCCAGACCAACGTCATATTATAAAAGCTGAAAGTTTGTCAGCGTATGCTCCCAATATAGGTTAGAATGTTGGTGGATTATGAAGTTTTGGTCATCGTGGCTTTGGCAGCTATCCTAAAAAAACTGTCTGGCAAGGAGTTGGAACTGTCAAAACTGTCTGGCTAAAAAGAGGAATAAATTCCATGCGCGATACAAGCTTTCGAAATTATTTGAACCTTGCATACAATTATTATTTTCGTTTTATTATAATGTGTTAACGGATTAACGATTAACGTTAACTTGCGTTAAGTCTTGCTGAATGTAACGTTTTAACGTTTAACGAAGTTAATTTTTTTATTAACGGTTTAACGATTAACGAAGTTAACTATTTGATTAACGGTGCCCAGCTATGATTATTATGTTCAAGTAGTATGTCTGTATAGAATTTTTGAATTGACATCTGCATTATACGTTGTTATAAATATTGTATGTAATAATGTTAATTCATAAATCACATAACATTGGTTACAGATTTTACAAATTATTGGTTTCTGGCCTGCGTTGTAAGAATATGATAACTTTTCAACATTTAAAATTACATTTTCATTGAATATTATGCATCTGGTATCTAAGTAATTAGTCAGCTTAATCAATTTTATCAGTGGCTATAAAAACTTAATTTTATACAATGATGTAAACAATTTAGGTTATGATTACAATTTCTATAAAACTTATCAAATAATGTTAACAAATGAATATAAAACAATTTTGGGTGTTCTTCTAGTTAGGAAAAACACTTATTAGATAAAATTGATGTTTTTTACTTAATTAAAGTTAGTTGGATAAAGACTGCAAGTTATTATGTCTGGTTTTCAGGGTTATTTTTCACAAAATATTCCATTCAAAATTGTTACTCAATACATAATTTAGTTTTAGATTAGACTCTGCACTTTGGAATAGTTCCATAAAATTTTAAAATTACAAATAATTGTTTCAATGCCAACTCAACACAGGTCCAAAGTTTACACAATATGCACTAATTTGGATACAATTTTTTAACTAAAATTAGGCTATTTCAATAGTAAAACAAAATTGTAAACTATTCTTTAGTTTATAAATTAACCAAAACAGAACACTGATAAATGCTAAATAGCTTAGTTAAATAGAAAAAAGTTAATTTACCAAACTTAACTGTGGAGCCAACATGGGATGCTTTAACTAAAGATTTTGCTACGTGGGATGCCATGGTTGCTTGGACACTACTTTAGGTGTACACTGACTAAAATAAGGAAGCCTGAAACAACTAATTACGGTTAATACTTCGTTAGGAATTAATAAAACTTGAAATAAACTCGAAGAAAGTTGGACTCTGACCTAATCTGACAGCCACTTTGAGATTAGTTGTGATTAGTTGCCAGAACAAATATTTATGATAGCCAGGCACGCATGTTCTAATAAATTAAAATAATTTTGTCATAAGACTATTTATTTAATTAATAATAACATTTTCAATTTTTAAGAATTATTGAAGGGAATGGTAACTTGTCCTCTAATTAAAATGCATAAAATACGTAACTTACACATTTATTTTAATACATACATCTACATTGACTATTTCTTATGCATTGAATTGATCATTTACATTGCATACTCATCAATGCACATGTTCATGATTATATCATTTACGGAGTTTGTAGCTTGCATTTTAATTTTAATTTTATTACACATTTTGAGGGTAGTAAGGAAAATTTTAATTTTAGATGTTTTCTCATTCGCGTTTTTGGGTCTTTTTGGTTCGCACTCAGACCAAGTTGGAAGAATTTTACACTATTTAGTTACAAATATTTTTGTGATATTCCGTTTTTAGTGTTGTCTGAGACTTTTTAGTTTCAAATGATTTCAAATTATGGAGAAAAACGAAAGTAAGTTTTATTTCTCATATTGCTTTATAAATTGTGGAAGTAACTAGGTGATCGGTAAAGAAGTAGGTAAGTATTTTATGATTGTACGATGGCTAAATCGGACGACTTCTAACGGTTCTAGTGAGTAAACTACCTACCATACCATATAGCTTAAACGGACCGTATTTTCATGGATTCGGATCCAATTCGAATCGAACGTAGTGCGAAAACAGCTCTAACACATCGTTATGCCGGCTGTACTCGTATACCCACTAAGTATGTGCAGTCTTATATCCGAGCTCTCGCCCAGACTCGTCATACTCATACTCGACATAGCGAGACACCACGAGAGGTACTGAGAGCTCCCTGTACACTCTCGCACTCGTCCTGTCTCGTAATCTCTCGGCGAGAGTGTACTGCCAGCATTACATTACATAAACATTCAAACTGCTACTATTTTTGTCTAACAGATGGCGCTTCAACAAGATGGCGGCCGTCATCATCATGGCGGCGGTCCTCCTGCCGTGCTCGGCACAGCTGCTAGACGAGCTGGATGCTTTGGAGGCGGAGTGCATCGGCGAGGATAAGTTCCAATGTCTGGAGGGCAGCTGCATCCCCCAGGATGCGTACTGTGACGGGAAGATCGACTGTCCGGAGGGCAGCGATGAGAATTTTTGTCGTAAGTCCATAATTGAGTGAATGAACGAATAAATAATAAAATAAATAAATAAGTAAATAAAATATTAATTTTCATGAAAAACTAAGTATTAAACGAGCCTAGTGCAGCTCGCAGACCTGTATCGCAATAACAAAAAATTCATTAAACCCACTTGGTTTAATGAATTTATAGAAACGTTTATTTAGTAAATACAAAACATACAATTACAATAGGTACATTTTAGTTATTATTAATTAAAAATTAAATAGATACCTACACTTGTATACCACAAAAAATCTTAATAAAGAAATAGAATCATTTTTTTAGTAACAAGTTTAGCCTGTTGAATTACAGCTAGGATCAGAGTTACAGGTACATACTTTTACAATTAATTAATAAAAATTTATCAATTTTCCAGCGCACCACCTCCCAGACCCGGAATTCTGCAACAAAACCCACCACTTCTTGTGCAACGACAAGCTGAAGTGCATCCCGTTGTCGTGGATTTGCAACAACGATACTGATTGCAACGATGGCAGCGACGAGGTTAACTGCACCGATGCTACGAATCATTCAACTAATGTAAGTCTAAACCCACTAATTGAATAATTCGCAGAAATAGTGAGTTAAGTAGCTAGCTCTTGTGATCGGCGAAACTGAAGTACATTTTTTATCTGAAAGAAACGCACATGCAAACAAAATTGAATGTTATAACTATTAGGTATTTAAGTAGGTCAATCAAATCACAATATTACATTTACGTAATAATAACGTGTAAAAGCTGGAGTGCATCCCGTTGTCGTGGATTTGCAACAACGACACTGATTGCAACGACGGCAGCGACGAGGTTAACTGCACCGATGCTACGAATCATTCAACTAATGTAAGTCAAAATCCACTAATTGAATAATTCGCAGAAATAGTGAGTTAGCTAGCTCTTGTGATCGGCGAAACTGAAGTACATTTTCATCTGAAAGAAACGCACATGCAAACAAAATTGAATGTTATAACTATTAGGTATTTAAGTAGGTCAATCAAATCACAATATTACATTTACGTAATAATAAAGTGTAAAAGCTGAAGTGCATCCCGTTGTCGTGGATTTGCAACAACGACACTGATTGCAACGACGGCAGCGACGAGGTTAACTGCACCGATGCTACGAATCATTCAACTAATGTAAGTCAAAATCCACTAATTGAATAATTCGCAGAAATAGTGAGTTAGCTAGCTCTTGTGATCGGCGAAACTGAAGTACATTTTCATCTGAAAGAAACGCACATGCAAACAAAATTGAATGTTATAACTATTAGGTATTTAAGTAGGTCAATCAAATCACAATATTACATTTACGTAATAATAACGTGTAAAAGCTGAAGTGCATCCCGTTGTCGTGGATTTGCAACAACGACACTGATTGCAACGACGGCAGCGACGAGGTTAACTGCACCGATGCTACCAATTATTCAACTAATGTAAGTAAAAATCCACTAGGTAATTGAATAATTCGCAGAAATGGTGAGTTATTACCAATTTTAGGACAGCAGAACTGGAAAACTTTAGGTACCTAAATACATCTGAAAAATACACTTTCTTGGTTTTTTTCTATCCATAACGAGGCAGCTCTTGGCCTGAATCTCACCTGATGGTAAGTGATTGTAAGTTAGGCATATTTTTCAATTTGAGTACCTATAGTCTATCTAGTCACTATGTAGTTAATAGACCTATAATGTCAACAATGTTTAGCGTGTTGTACTGTCAACATAATTAGAAGTCTGATTTTTTTATTTTTGTATTGCTTTGACTTGTGTTTAGTAAGAGGATGGTTTCTGCTTTTTTTTTTGACCATAATTAAAAGCTGTATCTTCAATCTTCTGTTTCGCATGTGGTCATCGTTTTGTAATCGTCTGACGTATGCTTGCTTAGAATTTGCCTAGGGTGGGAGTCGAACCCACGACAAGTTATTTTTTAATTTGAGATGCGACTCTTAACGTTAAGAAATGTTCTGTTATATTGTTTGTAGATCCACATTAAATTATACCTATAGGTACCTACTATGTTTGTAGATTATGATAATTGAACACTCTTGTTTAGTTTAGGTACTGTGTGTGAGATCGTGACAGCTTTGTGGTCAAGTGTGAGAGCATCCTAATTTCTGCGTTTGGTAGCAGAGGGAAATATTTTTTGATAAATAAAAAACAATCAATTTATAGTATAAAATTATAATTTATTTGTACTAAAATGGTACATTTTTTCTATTTAGTCCAATTAAAACTGTCGTCGCCTTCTGGTAGTTATGTTTCTTCTTGGAATTTTTCTTGTACTTCATTTCTTCAAATATTCATTCACTTCAATCTTGTGTAGAATCAGCATTTGGTTCAATGTTTCCATTGATTGCAATATTAGGCTGCCTATCTTCAATATTTTTGCTTTATATCGAATAACACCGTAAAAACGTGTTGTTTTGAATATTTCAAGATGTGTTCGTAGTATTGGGAGAAACTTCATTATTTTAGTTGTTTTGCTCTTCAAAGCATCAACTTTATTTATTGCTTGGTGACTCAAGCATGCTCAACCGCCTCTTTTGGGATGATGCGTTCATACTTTCTTAATGTTGAAATGCTTTTCTTGGCTTTAGATGAGGACGTGGCCTTTAATTTTCAAATATTTTGTCAGATCCTTATTATCATCTTACAAGTTCTTCTAGCTGATTCCATTGCGTTTTCGTTCTTATTTTAAGGGATATCCTTAAGATTTTTTACCCAATACTTGCATAGAGATTTTATTGTAGTAGATGTAGGTGTCTAATCTTTCTTGCTGTGACCGGACTTGTTATTGAACGCGTATGTAGTATCTTTAATATTTCATTTCCTTTACTGGTTGAATGTATACCTTCCAGTATATTGTTGAACAGTGTGCGTGTGGTTTGGTGGGTTGAATGGGTTTTGATTGAGAACTTTTTTTTGTATCCCACTTAATATTTTGAATCGGCAACGGTTTAAAGCTTGCCGCCACACCAGATGCGACGATTGACCATTCTGTCTAGAGTGCAACGGGGAATAAAGAATTAAAGAAACGAAGCAAGACAAACAATATTATGTGAACAATAGGTTATATATTATAGTTCTTTTAAGAAAAAGACGCCCACTGATCTAGTAGTCAAGAAACCGTCAACAACACTCTCGCTTCCAGGCACTTCTCTTCTCCGGATGCTCGGTTCTCGAGTGGGAGGCCTGCCTACACTGTATCACGAAAATAAAACGAATGTTAAAAGATAATGAACGAAGCAGATAATGGAGAATACGTGAACAATGGGTTACACATATTGTCCTCTTAAGAAAAAGACGCCCACTGGTCTAGGAGGACTGGTTAAGAGCCATCTACCACCACCACACTCGCACATCCAGGCGTTTCCCTTCTTTCACAGAATCTCGGTTCTCGAGTGGGAAGCCTGCCTACACTGCGTCACGAAAATAAAACGAAAGTTAAAAGATAATGAACGAAGCAGATAATGGAGGATACGTAAACAATGGGTTACACATATTTTTCTCTTAAGACAAAGACGCCCACTGGTCTAGGAGGACTGGTTAAAAAGCCTTCCACTACCACCACACTCGCACATCCAGGCGTTTCCCTTCTTTCACAGAATCTCGGTTCTCGAGTGGGAAGCCTGCCTACACTGCGTCACGAAAATAAAACGAAAGTTAAAAGATAATGAACGAAGCAGATAATGGAGGATACGTAAACAATGGGTTACACATATTTTTCTCTTAAGACAAAGACGCCCACTGGTCTAGGAGGACTGGTTAAAAAGCCTTCCACTACCACCATCAAACTACTGCATCCAGGCGCTTCCCTTCTTTCACAGAACCTCGGTTCTTGACTACACTGCGTCACGAAAATAAAACCAATGTTAAGAGGATAATGAACGAAGCAAAGAATGGAGAATACGTGAACAATGGGTTTTACACATATTGTTCTTTTAAGAAAAAGACGCCCACAAAAGCAGGGCTGGTTAAAAAACCCTCGACAACTACCACTACCATATTTCCGTATCCAAGGGCACAGAATCTCGGTTCTCGAGTTAGACATGCCTTCACTACACACTACGTATGTAAAAAATAATGAACAACGCAGAAAGCTTTTGTTAAAATAGGATAAGTAATTAACAACGCAGAGAAGCGAAACAAAATATTATAATGATGAATGAATTTTATTTTCTGCATTTATAGCAGAAGCATGGTTACACATCTTACGATCTCAATATGTATTAAGAGGTGAACCAGATGCGAAGATTTTTCGTTTGATTCGACAAATGTATGGTAATATTTTCATTGATTTATTTCCAGCTGGAAGGAGTATTTATGCAATTAAATGCTTTAAAGAAAGTAAGAAATGTTATTTAAGTACTATTAATTCGTACTCAATCAATGTTTTTTTGTTTCAGAAAACTTGCAAGGGATTCTCATGCGACGAAGGCAAGACCTGTATATCAACGCTATGGATGTGCGACGGGTTTTACGATTGCCAAGACAAAACCGACGAGATCATAGAAGAAAACTGTCGTAAGTACCAACCTCACGGTTATACTGGCCGAATCACAGACAACCAACATCTCAGCACTTGCCACTTGCAAATGTTCGTCTCGAAGCGCTGGTAGGGCAAAAAAAGAATGAGGCAGGTATAGGCTCCTTAAGAGCATTTGACGATTTGTAAGTACTAATTTAATTAGTCTATAGTACAAATTAAGATAATTTTGATTTTCAACAAGAAAAAAACTGACAACAGACTTTATTGCGGTGAGAAAGCTTAATAACCTACTGGTTTATATTAATAAAGTTTAAATTTTATAAACTTCGTCAGTTTGTGAGATTGTATGACCAACTGAACCAAAAAATAGTAGTAGGTAACTGAACCAATTTTGAAAACTATTTTTCCAATAAGTACCTACTGCAATACAATAATTTGTGAGCAACATAAGCAACAGATGACAAAGAATGACTAGTAAACATTAATGAATCTTCAATGTGACCGTAATATTACTTTACACTGCAGGCCACAAACTCTGCTCATATTTTTAGAGCAGTTCCACCACTGATCGTAATATGCACTTTACACTGCAGACCACAAATACCGGAACCACATCATGCAGGACCCGCTGTATTGCTTGAGCGAGTTGAGCACAGGCGAGCAGCACCACTACTGCTCAGATTCGTCCTACTGCCTGCCGGGTGATATGATGTGCGATGGCATCCCCGACTGCCGCGATGGCAGCGACGAGGGACCCTTCTGTGCTAATTGTAAGTGTTTTTATTATTAAGTTGAGCGAAGTGAGCACGGACGAGCAGTACTACTACTGCTCAGATTCGTCTTACTGCCTGCCGGGTGATATGATGTGCGATGGCATCCATGACTGCCGCGATGGCAGCGACGAGGGACCTTTCTGTGCGAATTGTAAGTGAAATTTTAATATTGAGCTTCTAATTAACTTTATGGGCGTGGGGAGGAAAAAATCACAAATGGTGACCAAGGCAAGTGAGAAACCACTTGGTGAACTGACGAACTGGTGAAGGTCCCACTCCGGCTCCCCGCTAATACGCCGTTGAGCGCAGCAGGAGTAGCAGTAAAATTTTGAGGAAGATGCCTTTGTCCAGCATTGTACGTTTGTTAGTTGAAAAGTATTAATATGGTTTATAAAGAGTTAATTATTTGGTGCAAAATCCCCAGAAAACAAATTACATTTGCGATGTTTAAATATTAGTTAAACCAGTGATTATAGACAGGAGGACTGCTGATGTTAGATTCCCAAGGAAATATGTATATAAAATCAAAATTTGGTTATATTTTTTAACCAAAATGACAACCACCAAACAAAGGGGAAAACGCCTGTAGATACAACCATAATACCAACGGTATCGCTCTCAGATTCAAGGGCTGCAATTTGGATCCCCGTCGACCACTGGCCTAGTACCACAAAAGTCCAGCGGCAACCACAAATTAAACTATTGTGCCACAAAAGGGTGGTGTCCTGGCACCACTACAAATTACTAAAACAATAAAAATCTCTTTTTCAGGGACTACAATGTGTACTGCAGAAAATAATCCATGCGTAGAAAACATAACAAGGTGCTTTCCAGACCGCAACGGTCCCACTTGCATGTGCGAGAGTTTCGCCAACGAGAAGAAATTTAACTACGAGAAGAAAATTTGCGAAGACGTAGACGAGTGCGCCCAACTCAAGCCTCACTGCTCGCACTACTGCGAGAATGCAGAAGGAAGGTACATTTGCAGTTGCGACGAGGGGTACACCACAGACCCCTTCAGTTACCTCTGCTATGCTACTGGTGAGTGAGAATAGACTTTATTTGGCACATTAAATATTTCAGGCCAAAAAGTGTGCCAAAGAGGGTACATGTTTGCAAAAGTGTGCCAAAAAAGTCCCCGACTCAGCAAGTCGGGACTGTGTAGATACGACGGTGTTTTTCAGTAAAACGTTTGGTAATTTTTAAACTTTGCATCGTGTATTATTTTGATTTAAAGATATTGTGCACCTATACTAAGTTTTAGCCTTTCTGAAGTTCGCAAACTTTTTAGTACCATGTTAAACAAGAAAACCAAACATACCAAGAATACCTATCGGAAGACAGTGTGCCAAAAAGGTCCCCGACACAGCAACAGCTGATTTTCAGCAGGCACGTTCAAACCATGCATCATGTAACAATTTGATTAAAAGATAGTGCACTTAGTTTCTATGTCTTTCTGAAGTAGTGGCACTAGTAACTATTTAGTACTATTTTGAACAAGAAAAGCATGATTTAGCAAAATGGAATATCACTACTCCTATGCAACACTAGTATTTGGGAAAACGACGCTGATTTTCAACAGGCATCAATCAAGCCATGCATTGTGTATATTGATTAAAAGATTGTGCACCGAAAGTATGCTTTTCTGAAGTAGTGAACTTTTTAGTATCACTTTAAACCAGAAAATCTATTATTATTAATTATCAAGATGGAATATTGAAACACCTACGCAACCGTCCGTGAAACTCATGCTAGCAAAATCCTTTTCTTGGAATAGACAAAAGCAAACCAAAGAGTGTATACTCGGTGTACATACATAGAAAAAAAAGATATCAACCGAATGAGGGCTATCGTTTTAGCGCTCACCAGTTGGCGCCACTGTAGAGTAAGGTCCTGTCACTTGCTAGTAGCGAAGACAGTGGCACCAACTGGTGAGCGCTAAAGTGGTAGGAGGACTATCGCATTTGCACTCATCAAGATGGCGCCACTGTAGAGTAAGGTCCTGTCAATCGCCAGGGGTGCCAACTGTTAAGTATAAAAACGGTTGAGAACCTCCTCCTTTTGTTCAAGTCAGTTAAAAACTAAAATATTTTAATTTTGTTTCAGGACCTGAAGGCCTGATATTCTTCACCACGGCAGACAAGATAGCTTTGGTGAAAATAAAGAGCAAACATAAACTCATCATAGCGCAAGATATAAAACAAGTAAGTCTTATTTTATTACTTATTAACCCTTTTGTTATTTGAAAAAAAAAAAAAAACCTTGAAATAACAACAAAAAACTTCTAAACATAAAAAAACTAGCTCTCGGGAAAATAGAAAGCAAACAGAAAGTCATCATACCCCAAGAATCCAAGATATAACTTATTTAAAATTAATTCTTATTTAAAAAATAAACCATTGAAACAAGAAATAAATCTAAACTGAGAAGTTTTATTCGTAAGTAACCATCATGAGGTAAAAAGAAACTGCATTTGAAACCACAAAATCCCAAAAACAGTAGATACTTAGAAATACTATTTCACAACCTGGCCTGGTGCTGCTACGCGCTACGAGGATAATAACCGTAGCAACTACAACAGAAACTGTAGCTCAATATCAATATTCGTAGCATACTACGACAACAGACTAGCACTACGATGTGTTGCTACGACGTAGCGACTTATAGGTACTTCGAGAACGTTGCACTTATTTTGTGCTTTTTAAAATGAAAGAAAAATATCTTGCTGATCACTATGAGACTCAATAATGAAAAATAGACATAAAGAGGCCTATACTAAAATTATAGTTAAACATCTGAACTTTTAAGTATCATTTCAGTATGAAGCCGTAACAGGTTCTAAAATACAACTCAAAAACATTGAACCCGAAAAACAAGCGGTCGAAAACAAATACGCGCCAAAAGATTTTGACCCGCATTGGTTTTTGGCGGCTTCTTTTTTTTTTTTTTGTTGTTGACCCAGGGAAAATCCTCATGGATACCACAGCGCACGGAGCACGGTGTGGTTATGCCGGACTCTTACCGGCTAAAAACCCTGGGGTGTTCCGTAGGTCCGGCCCCGCTGACCGGCACGGCAGTTTGAGTGGCAAATGTACGAAAATACTATGCAATTACGGTTGAAACTTCATTGAAGCAGTCGCTGTTTTGAGCCAACCGTCATCACTGAAATTGCAACTGTATAATTGTGTAAGATTATAGTATTATTTGCCGTGTCTTCTGCCGTGCCGTGTGAGTGGGGCCGGGCCCAAATCGTTGCCCAGTGGGGTGATCCCACCAGACAACTGAGAATGGCTCTGGACCACTAGAGACATCCCCGAGACGGGTGGGCCCGTGCGATGCGGGTAGCGGGATCTCCGTTCCAACTACCCGCTGGACCCACAGGAAGCGAGGAGGGAGCTTCACAATGTAAAGCCCCGTCCTCACTGCCGGCCGTCGGTGCCGCGGGTCAGTTATGAACATGTTCAGCTGACGCGCGGCGTACGAAAAAGAAAAAAAAAAGAGAAGATAGAAAAAACAAATTTCGTTTTCGTGCGATACTTTTTTTGCCCTTTTTAATTTTTTGACAGCTAATTTTGTATTTTTTGAGTAGGATTGTTCTTTTACGTATTTTTTTATTAATTTTTTTTATTTCTTTTAAATGCAAAAAGTTGTCATGTTTAGCTTCTTTTTCTCTGATATTTTTTTTTATAGATTTTTAATGGGCTTCAGCACTTTTATCTTTCTTTTTTCATTTTTTTTGCACTTGTTAGCGGTATTTTTTGTATTATGGGCTTAAACAAGTACTCTTTTAAATATTTAGCCTCTTTTAAAATGGGAATTATTTGCTCGTAAGCAGTAATCTATTCTAATTATGGGCTTTAGTTTCTTTTGCCTCTTTTGTTTTTTTTTTATCTGCGAGGAGTAATTTTTTATAATTTGATTCATTTTTCTTTTTTGCTTCTTTATGCTCTATTTTTTGCATTTTTTTTACTTTTTTGGCGCTATAATATTTTTTTTCTTTTGTGTGGGCTTCAATTCTTATTTTTCTTTTTTGCCTCTTTATTTTATGCTCTTCATGTTTTTAACTTACTTTTTTTTTAATTTCACTAAGCGTCATAATCTTTTGCGCTTATATAAAATATCTGCTAACTTATTTATGACTTAGTTTAGAAATAGTAAAATCATAAAGGAGAAATAAAATACATACAAAATACGGTGGCCATAAACTAGTATAAAATATGCATTAAATAATAAATAAGAATAAAAAATATTATTTTAAAATGATAACATGTAACTTACCAATTCTATGCTGAAATTTCCACGTTCCCAATCACGGCACTCGTCACGTACTATTTATGGTATTTGAGACATTTTAGCAACATGTTTTTTTGCGCTTGTAAGCAGTAATCTTTTTGTTTTTTTATTTAATGGGCTCTAGTACTCTTTTTTTGCCTCTTTTTACATGTAGGTAGGTATATTTCTTTTGTATTATTTTTTTAAGTATTTTATGGGCTTAATTTTTTGCCACTTTTTGTTCTGTTTTTTTTTTAACTATTTTTTAAAGGATTTGGTTTTTTGCATCTTTTGGTAAGTAGTTTATATTTTTTGCTTTATTATTTTTTATAATATATAATATGGGCTTCAGTATATTTTTTATTTTTAGCCTCTTTATGCTTAATAGAGAATAAATACATATACTAAATAATAGATAACTTAGCAGTAATATTTTCGCTCTTTTTTAATTGTGTGGGCTTTGGTATTATTTCTTTTTTAGCCTCTTTATACGCCCATTTTTACTTTTTTCTTGCGTCTTATCTTTTTACACTTTTAGACCGTTTTTTTTTGTTTTTTATGGGCTTCAGTACTTATTTTTTATTAATTTTTTTGCCACTTTATGCGTGATAATTGATATTTTTTTAAATATTTGGGCGTATTTATTTTTGTTAACTTTTTTTTTACTCGATAACGAACCTCGATCTCTCTGTGTGTGCTGTGCTGCACAGCACAAACAATTTTTAAAAGCCGTTATAATTTTTTTTCTTAATATTTTAGCGACATGTTCTTTTGCGCTTGAATCTTTTTATTTTTTGAAGTGGGCATTAGTAGTCTTATCATTTTTTTAGCCTCTTTTAAACATGCTTTAAAAAAATTAGAAAGGTAAATCTCACCGAACACGAAATGCCGTAGAGAAGAGAGCCAAACTAGCTCTATAAAGCATAAAAGCATTTAAAAAAGCAAAGTTTAACGCCATCAATCAATTACGCAAAGCAAATAAAAACATGTAAATGGTAAAGTAATACAGTTTATAGGATGAAGAACAAATGGTATAAAGAAATGAAAAAGATAAATCTCACCGAATACCAAATACCTCAGAGAGCCAAAGTAGCTCTTTAGTAATATTGCTTTTTCGACTGTAAAGAGCCAACAAATACAATTATTTCCTGAAGTATTCATAGGTGTAGGGAAAAATAATTTAACTCCATACGTAAAAGACTAGAGATTTTGAAAACTAACGCGTGAGAAATCAGTAAAAAACGTACTGAAATCATAGAAAAAATAATACTTCTAACAAAATCATTTAAAAAAAGCAAAGATTTATAGTAACGCCAGCAATCAATAACGCAAAGCAAAAAAATAATATTAAAATGATAAAATACCGTTAAAGTAATACAGTTTATAGAATGAAGAACAAATGGTATAAAAAAATGAAGAAAGGTAAATCTTACCGAACACCAAATGCCGCAGAGAGGCAAACTAGCTCTCTGGAGATATTGTCATCTTGGCTGTCAAAAGCAAGACACAATTATTTCCCGAAGTGTTCATAGGTGTAGGGAAAAATAATTTAACTCCAGACGTAAGACTAGAGATTTTGAAAACTAACGAGTGAGAAATCAGTAAAAAAGTACTGAAATCATACAAAAAATAATACTTCTAACAAAAGCATTTAAAAAAGGCAATGTTTTATTTTATAGTAACGCCAGCAATCAATAACGCAAAGCAAAAGAAATAATATGAAAATGATAAAATAATAAAATTTAAGTAATACAGTTTATAGAATGAAGAACAAACGGTATAAAGAAATGAAGAAAGGTAAATCTTACCGAACACCAATTAGCTCCTTATAAATATTGCTTTTTCGACTGTAAAGAGCCAAGAAATATAATAATTTTCCAAAGTGTTCATAATAGGGCAAAATGATTTAACTCCAGATATAAAAGGCCAGAGATTTTGTAAAATAGCGCGTGAGAAATCAGTAAAAAAGGACTGAAATCATATAAAAAATAAAGCTTCCAATAAAATAATTTAGAAAAGGTTTTCTAGGAACGCCGGCAATTAATGACGAAAATTAAATAAAAAATATTAAAATGATAAAGTAATACGGTTTATAGAATGAAGAACAAAATTGTATAAAGAAATAAAATAGGTAAATCTCATTGAACACCAAATTCCTCAGAGAGCCAAACTAGCTCTCTAGAGATAGTGCCATCTTGGCTGTAAAAAGCCAATAGATAACTACAATGTTTGTGTTTCCGAAGTGTTCATAAAAATAGGAAAAACGTTTTAAATCCAGGCATAAAAGACCAGAGATTTATAAAAATAACGCGTGAGAAATCAGTAAAAAAGTACTGTAATCATAGAAAAAAATATGCTTCCAATAAAAGCATTAAAAGAAGCGAAGTTTTTTGGTACTTACTTAACGCCAGCAATCAGAAATAAAAAAGGTAAATCTCAACGAACACCAAATGCTGTAGAGAGCCAAACTAGCTCTTTAGAATTAATATTGCCATCTTGGCTGTTTTATTACACAGTTATTTCCCGAAGTGTTCATAGGATGTTGCGAACGATCCTCCTTCCACCTTTAGACTCTTTCAACATTATAGATTTGTAAAAACCAAATTCTCGTCACTGTCATTTTTTGTACTTTTTGACTTGTTGTTTTAGAAAACTTTTTAAGCTCGTGATAATACATTTCTGTTCCATCTCGCATCTCACTATCTTCTATTCAAACCGATAACTGAAAAATTACGTTAAGGTTCCTGAAGACATTCTGAAACCAATGAAACCCAACAAAAACTGGTAACTAAAAATTCCTGATAAATTATGGTTAGGTTCCTGAAGACATTCTGAAACCCGGTTAGGTTCGTTTTAGAACCCTACTTAATGAAACCTAACATAAACCAGTTAGGTTTCATGAAAACCGGTAACTGAAAAATCCTGAAAAATTACGGTTAGGTTCTTGAAGATATTCTGAAACCCGGTTAGGTTCGTTTCAGAACCTAACTTAATGAAACTTAACAAAAACCGGTTAGGTTTCATGAAAAACGGAAACTGAAAATTCCTGAAAAATTACGGTTTTGTTCCTGTACATACATTCTGAAACCCGGTAAGGTTCGTTTCAGATTTGTTTTGTTTCATGAAAACAGCTAACTGAGAATTCCTGAAAACTTACGGTTATTTTCCTTAGGACAATCTGAAACCCGGTAAGGTTCGTTTTTAACTCCAGACGTAAAAGACGAGAGATTTTGAAAAAATAACGCGTGAAGAAACTACTGAAAATTATTCACTTACCTAAATAGAAAAAATAATGTTTCAAATAAAAGCATTTAAAAAAGCAAAGTTTTGTAGTAACGGCAGCAATCAATTTCGCAAAGCAAATAAACATGAAAATAGTAAAATATTACAGTTTGTAGAATGAAGAACAAAAGGTATAAAGAAATAAAAAAGTAAATCTCACCGAACACCAACATGTTGTAGAGAGCCAAACTAGCTCTTTAGAAATGTTACCTTTTCGGCTGTAAAAAGCCAACAAATATAATTAGTTTCCGAATTTTTTTATAAGTGTAGGGAAAAATGATTTAATTCCAGACGTAAAAGACCAGAGATTTTGAAAAATAACGCGTGAGAATCAGTAAAAAAAGTACTGAAATCGTAGAAAAAATAATGCTTCCAATAACGCAAAGCAAATAAAAATATTAAAATGAAAAAGTAATACAGTTTATAGAATGAAGAACAAACGGTATAAAGAAATAAAAAACTAAATCTCACCGAACACCAACATGCAGTAGAGAGTCA